TGCAGCATGACTTTTACTTGGGGAAAAAATATTGTAGTTCGTTGTCAATGGGCGACTTTTTGATAGAGCAAAATATGAGCGTGGTAGTAATTAGAAAACTATCTCTAATTGTGTCTTTGTTCTGAGTAAAACAACTTTCTTTTCAAAGTTTTTATATGATTTGAAACTTTAGTGTTGTGTGTTCAAAATAAATCAAAATCGAATTGCAAACAGAATATAAGTTTAAGTAGATATTGAAAAGAAATTCCGAAAATTGAACTGAATTGAAACCCGAAAACCCGTTGAATTTAACAAAATTATATTCTCGTTATTCATTTCATTGTTGGCAATATTTCTGGACTCTTAACTTAGTTCCTGAATGAAAATGATGAATTCAAAATGTTGTTATTCGCGCTAAAAATCTATATACGACTCTCAATGCGATTTCATTCGTATTTAAATGTCAAACAAGTGCTTTTACTATTCGATATGCTATGTACGCAAAAATGCAAATTGATGTACACACATTTACTCATTGAGTTTCTCGGTTCAACACAATACAACGTTTTCGCAATTTGAGCCCATTCTTCAGAGATCATTGAAGCAACAAAGTTCTGAAAAGCGAAAGAACGAACGACAGAATGGGGGGGAAAAAACACAGTTTCACCATAATCGATAAATTATTTGATTTTGTTGTACTCGCCTGTTTGTTTGTTTCACGCTGTGTGCGCACATTCCCTTCATCTGTCTGTTTGGATATGTTGTGTGTGTAGTACACTCCCAGCTTGATGTTGGTATATTGATTCGGTGGAAAACTTCTTATCTTCACCGTCATTCTGCCCCTCTAATACTTTTGCCTCGAAAATCAAAACCGTACACATGAAAAAGCATGGCAATTCTCTCTTAGCTGTTTTTGTTCACTCGTCACTCCACACTGTTTTTCTTGGGTAAAACTTTTTTGTAAGCGATTTCTCGAGAATTGCTCTCGTACCACGTGATATACTTTTCGTGTATTATGACAGTGATATTCACAATAACATTCGCAATTCGAATTGAATGAGAAAGCACGATGGAAGATAAGCACAGTGGCAAGCGAAAAAATAAAACAGTTATGAAGCACACATATGAAAGAAAAAGAGCTGAACGAACAAAAAGCATCAACTGGAAGTGAAGAAGAGGAAGGAGGAAAAAAAAGTTATTGGATCTAAAAGCAAATAAACGTACAGTTTTTACAGCGATACTCGTCCACCTGGCGCCACATCCATGTACACATTAGTGCTGGTGTACATGTGCGTATTTGTGTGGGTGGCGGGATAAACAGAATAAAACTATGCTACCACTTAGAAGGATAGATGCGCTAATAAAACGGTGAATTACAATCACAGCTTCGAAACGGGGTGTGGACAACTATTTTTTTTTCTGATGGAAATACTCTCACGAGCACATAAAATTATTTTTAATTTGTGTACCGTTTCATTTATTTCCTTCATACGTTTTCCGTACTTTTATTCAGTCTGTCATAAATGGTGCGTATTTTATTGGGTAATGATAGCGGCACCTGTATGACCTCACATTTTGTTGATGAGGCTGGAAAAAAATGCTGAACGCGGCTGCATTCGACTCACATCGATTCTCTTCTACAGCTCAAGGGTTTTTATATCTTCACCAATATATTTCTCGTTTTTGGCAGCCTCGACATAATTTACCATTTCTTGCCTTGGCAACCACTTTTTTTGTTTTCATAATTTTGCACCTGTATGCATTCGAATGGAAAATGCTAGAAATAAATTACATTGAGCTTAAATAGAAAGAGACAGATACTCGGTGCACAACATTATGAAAATGTTATCTAATATTTTATGGAACTTTACTCCACTCTCTACCACATAATTCAAATAGGCCATTTTTTCCCTACAAATGAACACTTTGTTGCCATGCATGATGAAATGGCAATCACGAGAATTACTTGTTTGAAATGAGAATACTAACCACAAAATTTGCGGTGCAAACCATTGACAAATCACAAACATCATCGTCAAGCGTACGAAATAATAAATTTAAATGTGAGCTCAGTGCGACATGAAAACTCTCATCTCACTTTACAAACTTATTTCATTTCAACTTGCGAATATATTTTACCGGAAAAACATTGTAGTTTAGAATAAATGATGAAAACTTTATGCAGAGCACTCACACGTGCCTCTGTGCATACGGAAATCATTTCCTGTGTTCTATCATGTTGTCATTTTTGTGACTAGATTTTTGATTATTTTTTTTTTCATCTTGTTAAATTAAATGTCATTTAATTATCCGGGCTCTGCTTCAACTCGTTATACTAATCCGTGTATTGTGCCTCAAAACTGTGATGCATAACAAATTACATGATGCGCCATCTGGAAGACCAGAAAGTAGACATTCTGTGATACCAAAAACGATAAAAATTGAAAAATTATCCAAGGAATCGTATGCCTTACCATGCTATAGATGTTCTAAAGTCTGCTATAGATTGATCAACGTCGTATCTTATGGGCGTATTGTTAAGATACGGAAAGCATTAAGCATTTAATTTAATAAATATAGCGAACGGAATTCAATCTGCAAGCAGGATCTGGAAGAGGGAGAAAAACTAACGAACGATGTTTTTTTGCGTTGAAAAATGAGCTGAACGACAGCAGATATTGCTCTGGCTCAGTTCTTCGATGGCAGAAGAAATATCAGGTCTATATAGCAATTATTGTGAATGGATATTAATTAAATTCAATAATGTTGCTCCGATGCGTAATCCTGCTCCACCTCGTGCACCCTGTTGACAGGATAAAACCGATTCAACGTATAATTTTTATCGACATAATGGCAACGTTTATTATGTCGAAGAATAGGAATCACGAGATTCTTTGAATTCAGTTTTGATGTGTACATAATGTGGAAAAAGCTCTCGCCTCTCGTTATGCGAGCATTGAGGGAAACAATGCTGTTTCAGTGGAACTGGTATTAATGTCGACCACTCAGATTATTATCATCGTGTCTCTTAATATCCGTCATACAATGAAAAATACAATGTTTACCGTCAAATTAACACGCCAAGCGGCCCGGAACACTGTTTCGAAACAACAGAAATGTGTGCGTGTTTACCTATTTATAATCTTTGGATCGGGTTCTTTGGGATCAAAAATGCATGTGTCGCACATTTCAGGTATGGCAGCGAAAGGGATTGCCATTAAAAATTGTTTGCTTGTTCTATAAGCTCACGGATTTGGTACTGTCGTTGAGCAGCGAAAAGTGCCGTTTTTTCATCTTTTGAAGTAATCTCTTTTTAATTCGCTGCAATACTCAAATGCACTGTGTTATCGGCACAGATTTTCTTTTCAGTTCCATTTTTGTATTTTAATTTCATATATATGTATAATAGGTACATAGCCTGATGCTCATTCTGCCAATGATAGTAACATACACAGCATTGCTAGTGTTCGGTTTGAAATAGAGTAAAAAATATTAATATAAAACATGAAGCTGTTTGACAAGCTTGTACTTGGCTAGCAGCATTGAATGTCATGTTTTTCGGTCAATTTTTCCATTGTATTTGCAAATGCAAAAGAGCACTTATGTTAGAAATCTCGGAATTTACATTAATTCCTTTTCGAAAAACTCTGCATTCATTTTTGTTGCAAGACAATAAAAATATTCGACAAAAAACACAATTCAGCTTTGAAATGCTTGAAAAAAAAACATGTCTTTAGATAGAAACAGCACAAGTTTGAAATGAAAAGCATATTTTGCGGTGGTCGCAGTCATCCTTTGAATCAAAAGCATTTTCAAATGAAAGATTCTCTTGGACGTGGTCTATGTGTGTATGTTTTTTGTGCCATCTCCAAACAAAGTTACAAATGGCATAACCTTCGTCCTAACTGCTTCATCATAACAAAAATTCATCATTATAATTTTTTTCGTCTTTTATCGCCACCGAGAGAGAGAGAGAGAGAGAGAGAGAGAGAGAAAGAGAGAAATTCAAAGAGCGAATAAATATACCGAAATGTAATGATCGAGTAAAAGAATATTCGCATTATATTTCACAAATATTGTTTTTTTAAATTTTTCGCTTATTGGATGGTTCCCTTTAAATTTCATTGAACCGAAAGTTCAATTTTTTCTTTGTTGTTTGTGATGCGATTTAATAACGTCATTACACATTATACAATGCACGCACATTAATATAATTACCATAAATCAAAAATGAATGTCGGCAGTTTTTCGTTGGCTGTGCTGATATGGCATTGTGCTGCTAGTTAAGAGGCGTGGAAAGCTTTTATTTGATTTTATAAATAGCACTACGTTGGTGGGGTCATACACATTTTTACAGCATTTTCGGTGAGTCTGTTCTCGCAATGGCTTTCGATTTATTATACAGCCGCGTCGTTGTGATGCGGTCTTTGATATACGACCACTGTTACATGTGTTCGTGGTCAGTGCGTTCACTTTTTTGTTGCATTTCCTTTGTGTGTTTGTTTTTAACTTTTTATCACAAGTAATTTTTTATCTGAATTTTAATATATGCTCAGAGGATCTTCTAGCCACTGAACAGATGTGGAGCGAAAAAAAACTGATGTAGTACTCTTTACTTTTCACCGTTATTTGTAGTCTACAGCCACTTTTTTCTCTTCTATGAATTGGCTAGGGACGTGCTTGACTGTGGATAACCATAAGAGGTCAAGCCACCGGGAGCAATGAAAGCGTTTCCTGTCACTTTTTTTATTGCTAGCTTCTGGCTACATTGCAATACTCATGTGTATACAATTATTAGAGCGCATTTGAGAACTGCAAAAATATTCATTTTTCAATTAAAGTGAAATTTGCCATGCATTAAAATATGATGGTAAATACCAACGAAAAACGATGAGATTTGTTGTTTTAAATGCAATCGATGCGAATATTTTGATTTAATTAAACATTTCTGAACTTTTTCAAAACAAGCATGAAAATATATAATTTCACGCAAATTTTGGGGTCCCAAGCGCGACTCCACACTTAGCTTCTAAATGTGACACCTTGGTAAGTGTGAGCATTCGTCGCGCGAACAAGCAATAAAGAGAGTGAAAACAAGTGCGCGTGTATTAGTCGCTACATTTAGAAGCATCGCATCAGGCTGCTCACTACCACACGCGCACTCGTTTCCATCCTCTTTGTCGCTTATTCGCAAAACGAATGCTCACACTTACCAAGGTGTCACATTTAGAAGCTAAGTGTGGAGTCGCGCTTGGGGTAACTTTTGGAGATTCGGACTGGATATTGGTAAACAGCAATGTCAACTAAAGTAATCACTTCGCAGTATTTTGCATCGGCTATTGTTTTTCTGCTCTAGTATAAAACAAAGATATCATCTGCTTGTATCGTAGAATTAGAATAATCACAGCATAGTGAAGTATACATAGAACATAGGAGTAGCTAATATTCTCTTCATATTAGAGTAAATTCGAAACGAAAATTGCATAAACCCTATCCTATGCAACAATTAGATATGTGCACGTGCTTCTATCACTCACCGCGAGCAAATTCTATTCTGACTCTCTATCACTTAATACTCTCAATTCCTATATCGATCATACCATGTAGTTATCTCCAAGAATCTCTCTATTATTAACCTTGTGGCTTTGCTTGATTATGCGTTACATGACAGATTTCGGTTTGCTTCACTTCATGGTCAATCAAGTATTCACCAAATTGCAGCAAACCCATGAAACCTCATGTGTGCGTGTGATTGGAAAACCATGCTTTTAAAACTATCAATTAAAATTAAACCTCTTAGACGTATGTAGTGTGTTATGTTTGTCGCAATGCAAGTATACCGTTTTGCTTCTGCTATCGCGAATTTATTTTCAATCTTTTTCATTGGTTTTTTCTTACTTCAATCCATCTTCATTCGTTGTATGCGCTATTTGAATAACACTTTTTTTTTGGTTCCAAAAGAATCAACAACAAAAAATATAAATTCGTGAAAATTTGGACGCAATTTACTTTATATACTTTTATGTATCTATTTTTATTTCTCGCTCATAAATTCTATAACATCCAAAAACTTCTGAATGAATGGAAAATTCCCTTCACTTTTGTTTTCGTTTCATTTTCGGCAAAAGAAAAGTTTAATTGAAAAAATTAACATTCAAAACGTTTGTTTTTTTTATCGCTTTTTCCCCCTATCCCATTTCAATGGCTGTTATCATCAACAGGACGAAATCGAATCAGCGATGGATGAAACTACGAACAACCGTGCAATTGTCGTCAGCCATACAGAAAAAACCGCCGCTAAAACGAGAGGACTCTTTTCTAAAACGCTTTTCGACGCGACAAATACCAGAAACTCAGGTAAGTTGATCACAATATGTCAATCAATTTTGATAGACATTTTGTTGTCATACATGACATACATGTTATGTAACAACATATCACAGCCGACGGAAAAAGAACAACTTATTGAAAAAAAGAGGTAAAACACTTTGCACTGATTGAACTTGTCGGAATTCGTTTGCGCATAACGTCTTCAATATGGGTAATCTCTGCTAAAAATCAGTCGGTTTCAAATCTTTTGGCCTACAGATTTTCCTAGGGGCTTATGTGTCGTACGAATCAGTGTGAATCAGTGCGAATCTCACGAGTCATTTCAAAACACATAGGCAACTGCACGAATCTTACGAGTTTATATGAAGATTCGCGAGTTCTTCACGAGTCTCTCATATAAATTGGCGAATCACTGAACGAAACTATGAAATGTCAACGAGCATGCCAGTTGAACTCACAATTCACTCAATAATCGACTACTAAATCAACTTTTTGTCATTAAAAACATTTATATTGTCACATTTTGACTGCAAGAAAATTAAAATTAATAAAAAAATTTAAAATGGTTGGTTTCGAAATGTTTTTTTATTTTTTTAAGGCAGACAACAATGTATTAAATGTTTTGGGTGTTGAAATTCCGAGAAAAAAAAACAATTTTTGCTTGTCGATCGACTTTGGCTCTTATTTACATAGAGAATATCGCTGAAATTGGTGGAATTCATAAACGAAAATCGTGAAGTGTTAGTTGAATCTATTTATGAAAATATTATTCCATCCAAATTTTTGGCAGCGCATCGAATTTTCATACGGAATATGTCAAGTTATATAGATCAACTAAAAAATCGTGAATTTGAACACAAAATGGATTTATCACAATTCCCGAATCCATCAAAATGCTTCATTCAAACAATTCAATCTGATGAAAATAAAAGTGTCGAAGCATTTTTTTTACACTGAACACATTAAGTCATTCTCCACATATATTCATATGATGTATGGCAAATCTTGTTATAAATCATTAATGGTTGACTTGCCCATTCCAAAAATAAGTGCAGTTCGTATGTTTCATAAAACATTTCGTGGATCTTAGTTCCATTGTCAATTTAATACATTTCATTTTCAATTCACATCCATTCCAGTTGCCTATATTAAACAGAATAAGAAAAGAATTATAGAACACAAGCTGAGATCCGAATGGTTTGCAATGTGTATATAAGCTGATTTGCATCGACTCGCGGATTTGCTATAAATGCCATACACTTTCTATGCTATGACTTGTGTATATATTTGTATGAATTCGTTCGAGTCTTCACGGATCTCCGTAAATTGGTGCGAATCAGTGCGAGTTCCTTGCAATTCATCGCAAATCATTTTTAATTTACATGAAAATCATACGAGTCTTGCTGACTCGTGACGACAAATAAGCCCCTAGCGATTTTCTGCCGATTTTCGAAAAAAGATAAAACTCCATAAAATTGCCGTTTTAACGTGATCAAAACGGGCTTGCAGCTAAATAAAATCCTGTACTCTCAAATATGGCATGAAATCGCCACTAAGCCAATCGTCTATCAGATTGGTTTACACACTTTTGGCACTTTGTTCACAACACTTATCTATTCCATGCTCGTACGTTTACATTATTTATACCACGTTTATGCTTTGCAGTAGAAAGTTTACAACACATGCCCATGCTCACACAGTGTCACACACACACACACACACACACATCACCACATCCACTAAATCTATATGAGTATTAGTATGGGAACTCCCACTCTTTTGAATTGTAGCATATGTGACCGTGAATCTAATATTCTTGACGAAATTCCAAATGATATTTGTACGAATTCACAATATCGATTTTGATTATTCTGCAGGCAGTAACGACGTTTCATCGTGTTTTTACACCCGTCATGAAAAATGTATATTTTGCTTGAAAAAAAAAACGGAACAGAAGAGAAAGAAAAAAATGCAAAAATGTTCCATCGAAAATTGGGGGAGATGGGATTGTAAACCGTTTTTTTTTTTCATACAGACGCCATGGGACCATATGACAACGTTGCTACAATTGATTTCGTTTTGTTGATTTACTTACACGTTCACACGTACAATGAATCAAAAAGTGCGCGTTGCATAAAATTTTATGTAACATTGAATCTTGCCGAACATGTACGAGAAAACATTGCAAATTGCAAACGATTCGAGATATGATCAAAAGTTTATTTTCAAATCCCCCGGAATGCCTGCAGTTTTAATATTTGTATTTGCATTTGAAACTAGATTTGGTGGAAAATCACACGTGAATACTTCATACGTCACACCATGCACGTGTTAGTTGCGCGTGTGTGTTCTTTTTTTTCAATCGAACATTGCAAGCTGAATGAAACCAGCTGAAGATTGTGAAAATGAATAATTAGAGTGGGAAAATTGGTGTTGAAGTTTAACATTTCAGGATTTTAATTGAAAATATTTTCATTTATTCTGCTTTTTCACATATCTAAAATAGGAAGCAAAAACAACATTGCATGAAATGAGAATAGATCATTGTCAACATGAATGTTGTCATTGAAGCATATGAAAATTTGGAAACATTTCTATGAATTTCCGATCGATTTGTGTTTTTTTGTAATGGCCTAGCCTAGCCTGGAGCTTCCACTTTGGCAACCGCACACACCAGAAGAACAGAATGTTTGATTTATTTTTCATGTTAAAACGGTTCCATTCAATAGTTAGTGGTGGTGGTGGTGAAAAAGGTCTAGAATTACAGAACTGAAAAATGATTCAAAGGAAAAAGAAATTCCCATGGATTTGTGAGTGGTTGAAGTGAGATTTACGTATGCAAACGTTTGGCCTTTAGTCAAAACAAAACACACATTTTTTATTACCCTTCTTTTGATGTCGATTGTGCATAGAAAATATGTTTGCGTACGTTTAATAAAAGTCTCTTAATCGGTTACCATAGCCACATTCAAGTCTCTAATCAAATTGGACAAGATGCCCTTAAAATTTTTTTTAGTAATGTGAATAAAATGTAGCGAATAGAAATGGATTTGCAATCCATTACAAAATATGGTTCCGCAATATCGCCGAAAATAGGGTACAGGGGGATTGCCGAAACCAATTTATTCGCACACGCATTCTGCATTTACAATGTATTCACATGAGGTTTCGGGTTAAATGTTTTGGCTCAGCAGATTCGTCGTACAAACAAACACACACAAATGTAAATATCCATTTTTTGGGGATTGTTTATCAACTGGATCAAGATAGGTTAGTTGCTTGAAAATCAAATGCTTCAATTCATATCATGCAAACAAATCGAGAAAGATCGATGAGCCAGAATCAGCTATACATTGCGATGTAAAATACGGTCGTCGAAATCATATATACATATAGATTCGTGAAAATATTTGCCAAACTTCATTGCAAACACAATCACGTATACATGAATATGAATATATAAATCAGATAGGGACATTCGAAGTGCTGCTGAAAATGTTCGCTGATATAGAAAATGTGTTGAACCGCAAGACAACATACAGCGTGAGAAACAGAGAAACACACACACACACACACACACACACACACACACACACACAGAGGTAGAGATTGTGCAGAGTGCCTGATTGATTGACCTGAATTACTTTGCGTATTACATATGAACGAGCGACGGTAAATTCAATGCAATCAAATAGCTCAAATGGAATTAACAATGATGAAGTTGCAAAGCGACGTAATTTTTTATAGTGAATCACAAATATCCAGAGTAGCAAATAAATTAAATTTGTCTGAGCCTAATGTTAAATGTTTTGCAGAGGCTAGCAAAAAACGAGAGAGAAACAATGCAATGCCAAAATGAATGGCCGTTAAATCATACTCATGTAACGAGCTCATTCACTTATGAATTATAACTCATAATGAATTATTTATCGATAACATCAACCATTTCTGAGCGGTAATACGGGCATCACGTTATAAAATTGAAAATGATCAATTTATGGTATACATGATGATGTTATTAACCAAAAACTCCCTTTGGAAATTTAAAATAATTTGCCTGGCCCCAAAGGCAAATCTGTTTGAGGTCGCATTTGCCATTTAATATACCATATACCAATTTGCATAGTGTTTTTCAAAATATGATGAGTTTTTATGAATTTTGCAATCATAAACGATTACCATATTGTAGTATGCGCTCGATGGTGGGTTTAATGTAAATCATAAACGCAACCATTAAAATGCATTTGACAAAATAATCCATAAAATATTTTATGTACACGATAGATTTATCAACATTTCATTGATTTATGTTGTTGTGTCATTACAGGAAACGATGGAGGAAACGGGTTCGGAGAGTGCATCTGGCGATCATGATAAAAGTTCGAAGCGACGCCGACGATACAATCAAAAGCGACGCTCCGTTGTCAATCCGGATGAAAATTTCTATTTTTATTGGTTGATGGTGTCCACCGTATGCATTTTATACAATTTATGGACTCTCATCGTTCGCCAAAGCTTTCCCGAATTACAGGTATGCTTCGGTAGTATATTCAATACACGGGTAAATATTATTGGATCGTATTCGAATATTCGACGGGAACCATTGAACGAAAATTTCAATTGTAAATAAGAGTTGCGCCACTATTCTCTTTTCATTGGCAACATTTTTTTCTCTCGCTATATTCCATGGCAAATTCTCTGTTTTATAAATAAACTCAAAAAAAGCGTTGCGGTTTTGCGAACTTTGATTGTTGGCTTTTATCTTTTTATTTCCTTCCGCGTCATTAATTTCCATGGGAAAGAACATAAATTTGCATCCATCAATGAATCCGTAATGTGACTGTGATTATTTTGAAAAATTAAATCGTATACAAAAAATAACAAACTCAATATAATCATCTCAATGTTCCGTTGCTTTCTTCAGCAATCAAAAGCATGTTCTCGTGGATTTTATGTGAATTTCATGACGTCGTTTTCGTGCTATCTGATAGTATTGATGTGTTGATGTTGATACAGCAACTAAAACATTGTGTCTTTCTTCATTTCACAGGAGTTGATACCGAATTTTTGGTTCGGCTGCGACTGCATCACTGATATAATATTTATATTGGATATCGTTGTACAGCTACGAACTGGATATCTGGAACAAGGTCTTATGGTGAGTACAGCATCAAGAAAATTCAAATTGTCGCGCTGTTTAGTTCGGAAAAAAATTCCGAAATTACATTGATTTGCCTATTGAAATTGAGGGCGCTCGCGTCGCTACAGTTGTCATTTAAGTTGTTTTCGGTCTTGCTGCCATCCGATGCAATATTTCCATCCACTCGAATTTAATGGATAACATGAAACAATACTCTTAAGCCATGGTCAAAAGAACAAATACTCCAGATAATGCAGTATGTTCGAAACGTGTTTGTTTTTTTTTAAATTAAAATTGATATTCCGTTGTTTTAATTAATTTGGTCTTTATGGGGCGGATACCATATGCAGACTCTCATAGTCGAAGAGCGACGAAAAAAGACACTTGGTTCAAAAGCCTGAATTCAATTGCAAATGGAAAAAAAAAGAAACACAAAAATGTTTGCTATTATGTATAAGAAAAATATTTGCCATTTGCTCCCATGCACAGAAATTCAAACAACAAAAAACAATAACATATAGAGACATTACATTGTGTGTGAAAAAGTATCTTGAAAAATTGTAGGAAATGAAAAGAATCTGGAGTGAAAAAAAACGCTGGCCAACTGACGATTAAACATTTCGATTTTTTAAAGAAATGCGAGAAAAAAATTCGGGCGCTAGCGACGAAAAGAACGTCGAATGCTGCTCACACAGATACAACAGCTTTGTTTGCTAACATTTTCTCATTCATATAAGTAATTTTTTTTGGATGTGATGGTATTGCTGTTAACTTTGAAGCTTGGCTCTTTTTTTCCTCTCCATCGCTGCCATTCTTTTTCTCTCGAACGCATCGAGTATCGCTTTTTGTGTGTGTGAATTTCGAGCATTCTAAATGGAACATCTTTTTCCGTTTGTTTATCACATCGTAATTGTTCTTTAGAAATTTCTTTCACTTCACTAGTTCGCCTTTCGTCGTTTTTTTTCGCCGAATTTCATTTGTTTGCATACACACGCAATCTAATGGAATCGTTGCAAAGTGATGTCAAGCGAATGAAATAAATAAATGTGTCTCACACTTTTTTCCCCGCTGAGTGAATGCAAGAGAGGAAAAAAAATATTGCATATTAAATACAAGCAAAATGGAAATGGGAGAAAATTTGAATCCGAAAAAAAAAGAATATTCCATTATCGAAAGTTGGATAAATGTATTATGATGATAATAAGCAATAGCAATGACATGGCACGGATTGGTCGGACAAAATTCGAGAAAACGAGATGCTATCTATTTAAGAATAAATTCGAATTGTAAAATGAGAAGTCGCAACGACACGATTTCGAACAGATTTTCTCTGCTGCCGGTCATTTACATGCTTCTCGGGAGTTTTTGAATTAATCAAAGGACAATGGTCGTAACGGTTAAGAAATCGATTTTATCTTCTTTTTGTTGCTCGGTAAAAGACCTGAAAAAATCTATTTATATTTTTTCCTCTCTATCTCTCTCAAGCGAACGAGAGCGAAAGTGCTGTTCGCCTTCGGTTCGTATGAATTTAATTTATATTCTCATTTTTATTCTTGGGCTCAATTGATTTTCTTCAGTAACAGACCACTTCAATCTGAGATCGGAAAAATACGACAAGATACTTGGTTGCTGTGATGGCGGCAGGCAGCACGACACCATCCAAACTGATGCTGTGTCGCTGCTGCGGCGCTGTATTTTTGTTTCGATCTAGCGCATGAATGAAAATGAAATGCACGGGTCGCACGACAAGGATTGTTTCCGATAAAATTTTATGAGCCGTTTAGTTTCCTTCCCTTCATTATCTCATGGTGTCAGCTCTTCTTGGCGAGCTGAACATATTTTTCCAATGTTATGGAAGTGCTCATTCCCAGTGCTTTTTTCTGCAACAGCACCGAAGAAGAGCGAAAGCGAAAACGATAGCGAAATTGAAAGCGAAAATAGAATCGTAAGCAGGAATAAGTGTCAATATAGCTACTGTCATGCCTGACACCACATCCATTTATCGAGTGTGGCAAATGATAGACCGAAACGAATGTATTTTCTGTACATAGACCTACTTTAGCTGTCTAAAATTTTCATTGCCGAATCAAGTATGACAATGAATGAGAAGGCGCTGGAACTTATTTAGTGTCTGAATTCGATGCAAACTGTACCATTAACCAGGGGTACGGAATACAAGGAAACCATGACGCGATTGACTCTTGAGAAATTTGAGGCAAATCGACGACTCATACGAAACCCGGCTGAAAATTCATCGATGTTTTTGTTCGTTAGCCTCATTCGTTGTGCCGTTTGTTGGTTTCGGGATAAAATTGTACAATGGAAAATTACGTGTGTGCGTGTTATTTCATTTTATTGCTTTGTGGCAAGACATCATCCACATTCATTTGCCACATCTTCATCTTCCGTTTTGTGTTGAATAACATAACACAAAAACATATGGTTGATTTTTTCTCTCCCTGCAAAAAACCATGCACGTGTTTATGTTCGGTTCAATGAAATTAAATATTTACGGTTTTTGTGTGATGTTCTGGTTAGTGGCTTTCCATTTCTTTTCGGTTAGTGGCTTTACATCTCGTTCACTTTTCCATAATCAATCGATTGGCGTGCGCCGTTGAATGGCAATCAAATGCATGGAACACCATTTGTTGTAGAAAACAAATCAGCATTTGATTAGAATTCGGTCCGAATCAACATTCCATAGCAGAATTACAGCTGAGTGTCATGTGTGCGTATAAGCTATTTTCATCTTGAGAGCATCATTTGTAACAATGTCTGTGTCTTCTTTCTTTCTTTTCATTTCAGACAATGTGCAATTACACGCTTATATGGTTAGTTATACTAAGTTAGCTCTGCTTACCGCACATTCCATGTTTTTGCATTGACTATTTAGATTGAGAAAATTCACTTTAACCCTCAACTGCATAAGCCCGCCTTTTGGCGGGCATCATTTAAACACCTGTATAATGTGAATCGTACGGCGGATGACATTGCTTCAAGGGGAATTTTTATTTGTCAATGTTTTTTCTTTATTTTTGTCTTTGGCGTCATTTGTCTATGTCGTACGATTGGTGAGTTATAAACAAAAATGTGCACGAAAACGAAAATTTGACAAAATAAATTATTCGGTTTCCAAATTAGACATATTTTTTACACTTTTAAACAATGGATTTCATTGTTCTCTGACTTATTTCTATCGCATTTCCTGACTAAACCATGGGAAATCTAGGATTATGAATATTTTTTTCGTTATCTATGGCCAAAAATCAACCAAATACCAGTACTCCCAGTCCTAGGAAAAATTCATGCAGTTGAGGGTTAACTTTGACATTGGTACGAAGAATTTCTTTTATGTTAGAAAATGAAATCGATCGTCACGAGGGAAACAAATTTGTCACTAGGAAAAGAGAGAAACTTAGTAGTATGTGGGTAGTACAGTACAGGCACATACAAATGACAATGCCGACAAAGGTATGCAAATGAATGTGAAACCTAAAAAGCCATAATTTTAGACGTATTTTATACAACAGCAAGACCATTGAGCATAGGAAAGCGAGTCTCTTGTACCGTGACAAAATGATAAAACACATCATTCACGTTGCTCAAGTGGTTTTATATCACTTCACGCGGATAACAAAACGGTTCAGAGAGAATACACACGTAGCATCGTTTACAGAGCATTCGTAAATTTGAGTGGATGTGGACACAAGGTTATTTATCCACCACTTTTTCACAAGCCGTGTTTGCCTTTTTTTCCAACTTTGAACATCAAAAACGTTGAGCCGGTGCTGAAGCAGTCATTCATCTTTTTTCGGCACACATACGTTAGACGAGATAAAAAAAATGCCTACAACCAATGTCTCTAATATATCCCACCAGGGGATGAGTGCTTGAAGTCAAGCAAATGTTTGTTCCATCGCCATTTTCCGTGTGCATAAACAGTTTCAAGTTTGTTGTGTATCGTTTGAGGCTCTGGTGCGTTTGACTGTGTCACCGGCAGAAGCGTTACGCTTGGTCAAAGAAGTTTTTGATAAGAGGCTTGATGCTGACTGCTTCTACGTGCGTCTTATGTATAAAAAATGAAGTATGTATATCGAGAACGGGAAAAGTTATGTTTCTAATGTTTGAGTCATGCTCTGTTTGCGTGTGTATCATTTGGTAGCCTCGATATTCGAGTAGCAAAATGTTCTATGTCTATAACGTGGTGTCTGACTGGACCAAGTCAAAAATAATGTGATAAAAATGCGTAATGGCATGCTATTGCCATTTGTAAAATTTCATTTTTTTTTCTATCAAAATATTTTTGTGGGCCCGGAAAATGAAATGGTTGGAATTTTATCTATCATACATCCGCATGCCACTTTTCAAATTCCTAACATTCCGTGGCTTTCTTGTTATTAGCTGGCACAATACATAGAAGTAGGGAAAATTTTCAAAGCAAGACGCATACACCAAAAAGAAAAATCGATTGTGAACGAAACTTTGCGCCGATAGACAAGCGTTGAGTTAAGTTGACGTCGTACGATGTATAAGTTTTATTTCGATATTCGATTCGAATCGCGACAATTGATCACTGCTCACACTCATTTACGAAATTATTACTCCGTTTGGTTATTCTGCCGGCGACTGTCTCGCTTCTTGATTTTGATTATTATTTTTATCGACGCCCTTGGAATAACCATTTCATCATCTTTCTGCTTGTTTTCTTCGTCGCAGACCCATAAAAATGATGGCAATATCCAAGCAAACTGGAATAAAGTTGAGAACATGTGTGCTAGGTGAGGTTGAAGAAGAAGAAAAATCAAAGAAGTGAATGAAAAGAGATCCGAAGTATTGTTACGATAGAATCGTCAAAAAATATTATGTAAATGCATTGGCAATCCTTTCGAGATGATTCATCTCAAGCGAACAGCACGAAATTTGCTTAACTAGACGCTTTCAAAGGGACCACTTTTTCTTCGTAAAGTGTCATGGTACAGGTCAAAGAGCGTGCCCAAAATTTGAAATAAAATAAATAATCCGACATCTGAAGCGCTATTATCAACTGACCAAATCACAAAGTTTATATTTTTTCAACAAAAATTGGTCAAATAAAAACAGCTTTTAGCACGTGTTTCCTTTTTCTGTCAAACCAAAATGAGCGTAGGATGTGTCGGTTTTTATTTTAGTTTTTTTTGTTCATACCATAAATTTCCATAAAGAATCATTTTTATTTTTCAAGACATTGCACATTTTCATGCTTAAGTTCACTCACTTTGCTATATAAATTGCACGCTAGCGCGATTATTACGCCATTTTTTTTTCATCAACATAGTGGTGTTATGATGAGAAAAGGCGGATCGAATAAATTGAGGGTGGAATGAAAAAACAGAGAAGGACACCCGAAAAAAGCGTAATAGAATAATTTTCTGTTTCATAAATGCCAAGGGCTGCGTTTAACACCACGCAAAAAATCATGTATAATGCTTCGTTATGGAAGTTTTGATGTAATAACTTTACCCGGAAACAAACAATGAGTAAACAATGTAAAAGTCAACACGAATTTCAATCCATTGACAGAATTTCGTTTCATTGAATGAATACAATTGACCGCCGTAGGGAAACCACGAACCATTTATATGCGTATCCCCACAGTTAATTCAACTTCATTCGTGCTTGTGGATTTAATTCGACGCATTTTCAATGTATGTGCATGCTTTTTTGTCGTGAAACATGCCAGCCAAAAATTTAATTTAACCTATATTTGGGTATTGTATATGTTCGATATCCGAAAATGAACCGAAACCACAATACATTTTATGAATTGATGAATAATTTACGGGCTGGCCGGTAGTGTGATATGTTCGACGGTCAGTTTTGTGGCAAGCATTTGATTCATCAGTCAGCCTTGAAATTTCAATTCGGTTCATCGAAATTAACAATTTTGCTACTCCTTATTGTGCCATTTTCCCCCCATTGATTTTACCAATTAAATGGTATCAGTAATCTACCAGCGTGACATGGGCATCACATGAATTTGGTATGTTATATCTACGTATGTTACCTGCATATACAATTCTACCCTCACCGCATGTGGTATTGCTGGTTTTCAATGTTGGATGATATGAAACATAGGTAGTACGTTGATAGTAGGTAGGTACATATGTTTTTTATATTTAAAGATTTTTTCGGAAAAGTCGATACCATTGAGATATCCTTCAATGAATTGCCTATCTAATAAGGCCACTAAGACAGTCAAACTAAAATGTGATTGAAGCAGAGCAATCATTTTCACTTTACTATCCCATAAATACCACTAATAAAAAAACTAAATACTGCATGAACAATTTCTGGTTCTAACCAACAGCAAACTCGTTTCGATACCATTACTCGGTTATTGCTTCTATCGAGAGAATGTGCATAGTCGCATTGGGATTTACCAAACATTTCATCTGTTTGGCATGTCACACCGAACATAAATAAGTTATAAAATCCAAGTACTCCCAATGCCAGACTCATTTCACCTTCCTTTCGGCAATTTCTGATTTTCCTCCAATTAATTTAATGGATGCAGTGCTTAATTATTAGTAGCCGCAATTGAATGGAATTCATCTTATAATTGAATATTCGATAAATAATATCAAAGCGACCATCTTCAAAGTTAACTGTGCATTCGGAGAACCCGAGACCGCCATGTACTATGAAGACTAGACACAAATCTGATTCCATCATAAGATATTGAAATACGAAAAACTTTTGTTCTTGTTCTCACATCATCGACAAGATCGACTCTTAGATAATGTGAACCGCCCAGGCGTGTGAAGCCGCAAACAGAGGGGCGAAACCGAACTGTCATCATCAATTACAACGCGGCTGTCAGAATAAAGTACAAATTAAATACACGCCAGACAGTCTTAAGTGCACCTTCGTAGAACGACTCGTTGAATTTGAACTACTATGTTTGAAAAAGACAACGTATTTTCGTGAACGTATATTATTCATGGAGTGAATAAAAATGATAAAATCAAGTGGAAAATGAATATTTGTGTAAAATTATGTTGTTTCTTTATTTCCTATTTAAATGCAATGAATGATTTGGATGACACATCCACATTATCAAATTTAGACAAATGTTTCCAACATGAACATATTTATCTAAGTTTTCTTTAGATTTGCTGATGTTCAAATGAATTTTGAAATCAATTAATTCAATTTTCTCATTTTTTACGTTCGCTTCCTACAAAGTGAGCTTGAAAATGTGTTTCAGAAGCCATGGGAATAAAGTGGCTCCTTAAACACACAATGGCTTTGTTCCACCGAGTGCACAAATTTGTTCTACACATTGAACATGTCAGTAGATACTTAACCTCACTTTGTCAATCAAAAACAAGAAAAATGTTAGCAAAGAATTTCTGAGCAAAAAAAGAAAGTTCATATTCTTTTTCGGTATTTTTCCAAACGTTTCTAAAATGTTATTAAAAATGGGTTTTCATATTAATACACTAGGTATATTTTTATAAATAATTGAAATATTTTTTAACCAGAATGCTGGAAATATGTACTCATGTACTTATGCATACTTTTAGCGCGTTCCGCAACGAATGACAACCGACTACGCGGTCCCCGTTGTAGTTTGACAGTTCGGTTTCATGGCTCTGGCCGCAAAAGCTGCCGGGCTGGAATTTATCAGAGGAGAGAAGAAAAAAATCCGCATAACTTTTGTTTAACATGAATTAAAGCATAAATTATCAAATATTTACAGTCCAAATAATTTTACGACACCTCACTTCTGAATTGTGTGCTCCAAAATGAAATTTGTAACAACAAAAGCTACAATAACAGCAATGTCAGCTGTAAAGTATTGTTTTGAACTTCAATTTAATTGGGTTTGAAACTTTGTCCAAGCGCAATTTGCCAAATAAATACGTAAATGGTGGTGCAGATGAAAATTGAGCACTAAACGGTAATCAGATTTGGTCTGTTCCACTTTGGCAAATTGTATGGTAAATGCGTAACTTTATAATTTGAACGTTTGTACAAAGTAATGTCATGGTTTCCACATTAGTGAATTTAAGGGAATATGAAGCAAAAGTTCGGACGGAATAAAACGTATGTAGCCCAATGTATGAATCCTTTTGAAATGGACCATTTTTCTATATCACTGATTCAGGCTCTTATACGTCAGTTACTGCAACACGAAACCTTAATCAAAGCTGACTTTGATTGGAAAAGCAGAAACTATTTACGGTTACATATAAATACGATACTTGTCCGGTTGGCCTTCCGGGTTCTCATATTCATAAGAGTCTTTTATTATATTTTGTCATCTCTTCTGTCACTACAATGATACGAACTTCTGAATGAGTTTTTATGAAGTACTAAATATGCCGTCCAAACAATGGAAATGAAACCCATTGCAAAACACACACTGGAACTGTGTATAGAGTTACTGATGATTTATCATCGTATTCTCTGGATCAATCATGGAAACTCACTCGTTCATACCCATTGAGTTTGTTTAATGTTTATACTATGGAAATTTATTCACAACATCTTGGCAGCACTTTCTTTACACGAGCCACTTTTGTTTTGACTTCTCCGTTTTTCTTTCTACGTCATTCATCAAATGTCCTATCGGAAGCGTGCATCGAATAATATTTGTGAGATAGAAAATTCGTAGAAAAGTTTAACACAATGCAGAGCGCTTTGTATTTGAACTTCATTAATTCTATAGAATAGCTTAAAGGCGAACGTTTCCGAAATTGTTTAGTTTTCTCACACTTTTTCGAAATAATTAGGTACATCAAAATAATTCCCAACCAGTGCCCGAAAATAAGAATAATCGATTTCCAGTTGATTAAATACGCACGCATGCATCACAATACTTTTCCCAAGACATCTAATCTTCCAGCATGAACATGAATCAGCGTGATTCGAGCGCTGCCAGAACATGGCTCAAGACCAAAAGACGCAACGAGAATACCACACGAAAAAAAAGACCAAAATCATTCTCGTAAAAAGATGGAAATGAATTTTTGATTTGATAAACAGAGATGAAGAAAGAAAAACAAACCCAACGAAAGAGAAATAAAAAAAGTAGCAAAAAGTTTTTTGGTGTGATGGGGTCAGACAACAAAAGTCTGTCTGTCAAATGTTCAAATATATTTGAGCTGTGGTTTTTGTTTGAATACTCTTTATTATCAGTGTTTATCGATGATCACATTAACAAATTCAACATGAGCTATCCAAAAATCAATGATACATACGTTTCTTTTCCATCGTTTCAAATGTTTGATGAAGCAAACGAATCGATTATTTCTTTTTTGACCTAAAAAGCTTTCTCTCCCTCCTGGTAAAAATATTTGCTGCAAATGGCACGGATCGAATTGCGATAGTTGTTGTTTGTTTGGAATACTATCCTATATATACGGAATAAGAGCATTTTCTTTCATTCAACTCGTGTGTTAATTCTCATTTCCTGTGAATGTGATGCTGTTTCTAGTGATAATGTGTCTCAATAAGGTACATTTACATTGAATTGGATTTTTCTGTGAAAGCACATCGAATATGGGCTAACAGACAAAAGAGATTCCGAAATGAACATCGGAAATAGATTATTGGAAGCCATTCGGGCACACACACACACACATATCAAGTGATTTAAAATGCGAACAGATGGTATTATATTTCCATACAACAGCTCAGGCATTGTTCCGTTTTAGGAATGCTAAATCGTTCTGAGTTTTCTTCTTCTTCACCATTTCGTTTGAAGTTTACTCCACTACTTGGAAGTGAGAATCAATTTCCCTCTTTAATTGTGCTTTTTTCCTCTTTACAGGTTTATGACGATAAAAAATTGGCCCTTCATTACATGCGATCGAGAAAATTTCTCTTCGATTTGGCTGCTTTAATACCGCTAGATTTACTTCAAATTAGATTAGGCACACAACCGTTACTTAGATTTCCACGTTTTTTAAAAGTAAGTACACATTGACATTGCAACCACTAACCGCAAAGACCATGATTTGTTGAATATGAAACATGAATGTCATAAATTCATGCTTGTGTAATTGTGGGTATTCAAAAACAATGGTAATAAAAAAAAATCTGGTGTGTGGTGTTAAAATTTTGACAGATTCATGACTTGTTTTTGGCCATGCACGTTTGTTTGTTTGTCTACACGAGAAGAAAAAATCAATAAAAAAAACGGGGGCAAAGAACAAGTTTTCAAAGCGAATCTGTTTTACATGAAATCACGTACGCCATCATCAAAAACGGAAGATAATTTTCGGCAAAACCCAAAAAAACTTTTTCAATTAACTCACCAAAATGGGATCCATAATAAACAGTGGATGCTCCTCGTGCAGCCGACGCAACACACTAGCAGACACTGTCAACCTTTTTCGGTTGTTTGTTATTATTATTATTTGTGATCATTTGCACGCGTTTGTATAATTTGTAATGATGAATTTTCTGCTCTTTCTCTTCCTCTCTTTCTCGTTGTCATTTCATCCTTTATCCCTGGGCCTCGGCTGTGCGTCTGTGTGTGTCACACGACGACGACAACAACAACATTTGCATCGCGCCCCAAACAAAAACACAAACACAGGTTTACAGATCTGTTAAATTTTATTATATCGTTGAGAGTAGAACTGTATGGCCGAATTTATGGCGTGTAGTTAATTTAATTCATATATTGCTGATATTGGCTCACTGGTTTGGATGCTTCTATTTCCTGCTGTCGGAAGTCGAAGGATTTCAGGTAAGTGTTTTCATTCTCTCTATGTGTGTCTATGCCATTGATGTTTATTTATATAGTATCTTATATCTTTTGTTTCTCTATCATTTTCTGTGAGAGTCGAAATGGAATTCGGGGTCCCTTGCTAGATTATGAAGCTATTAGCCAGATAACTAAGCGACCATTTAACATTGCCAGCAATCATATTATCCATTTTATTATTATCAATACTGCCATCTCTCTCTCTTGCGTTTGGTTTATGCGTGTCCCTCATTGTAACACGCATCGTCTAAATCACGAGCAACTGCTATCATCATTCTGTCATTGTTGACTCGTCCATTTTCATGACATTGTATAAAACTGGGTCGGTTACAATACAAACTACTGTAACCGAGTCTCTCTCTCTCTCTCTCTCTCTCTCTCTCTCTCTCTCTCTCTCTCTCACTTTCACTCTCGTTTGCATTCCGATTTGGCATTCGCGTCGTTCAAATGCAGACCCAGCTGAATTCGCATTTGATTCGATAGTGGAGTGCAAATAATGAATGGAAATGTATACGACCCGTACAATCAAAGTCAAAATACGATGGCGCTCGAAGATAAAAACACTAAATCAAATAATTGGCATTAAATTTGTGCGTGCATGCCATGTGTCCTTAAACAACATGATTGCCGTTCCACGTCGCATGGTAATTTTAATCATCAATTGGATTCCATTTCGGCAGCTCGCCTTTCATTTCATCCAATAAAATTAAATTTACTACGGATCATTTATTTGTTTTTGTCAGTTTTATGGTTGCTTTCGCTAATTGAGAACATTTTAATAAATTTTCCGGTCGTTGATTTTTTTTTTCTCCTCTGTCCTTTCTTTATTTCTTTGCCGTGATTAACGTGAAACAGGGTGATTGGGTCTATCCATACCGACCGGGTGACTATGCAACGCTGACACGAAAATATTTGGGTAGTTTGTATTGGTCAACGTTAACACTCACAACCATCGGTGATTTGCCAACGCCAGAAACGAATGCTGAGTAAGTTTGAAACATTAATACCATTGACAATAGTGATTGGAGGGTTTCGACGACATCTTAATGATGCTGAATTTCGTCTCCTTGGAAATGCGCAAATGATTAGAAATTGATGAGATCTGCGAAAAGGTTGTGAATTAGAGTTATCGAATTTATTTTCGTGCACGTAGTTTAGTGAAAGTATTCACTAAATTATTTTTACAAAAGATTCGAAATGTGTTACGATTTTCTTCAAATGGATTTAAAATAATTTATTAATCAATTCGTATATTCGAAGCTTCTGAAAAGCTCCATTAAGATAATATATATGGAGTGAAATACATATATTTTTATAGTTTAAGTTCTCAGCTGGTGACATTACCTATTGCTTTCTGCGAAGCAAAACATCAAAATCCCGTGTAGAAAAAGGAATTTATTAGTTCAGTAGTTTGTAAGTTAAAATAAAATAATCGGATAAAATACGAAAGGTCAACTTTAAGTATGGTCACACGACGAGACTTTTTAATGTCAACATTTGTATCCAACAAGCATTGATATGGTTATTTGGCACATCGAAAGCGATGGCAAAATCTCATCCATTCCCTTATCAAACTCGAGCAAATGCGATATGTGTGCGAAGGGGTTCGGCAAAGAAAAAAGTTTTTTTCTGTATCAACAAAAACAAGAACAACAACAACAACAACCAAAAATGGACAAAGGCAACTTTATTTACTATGCGGCCCGATAAGTTTTCGGTGTGGCTTGAGAGTAAAAATTGCAACGGCTGCTTCAATTTGAGCCTTTTGGATTGGCAATTTTTTTTTTCGGCTATGCAGGCGGCGCCATTGTGTTCGAATAAATATGTATGAAAACGTCATAAAAAACCATGACTGTGTGACTGTGCCTATAAATTGAGCGAAAATGCTTCTTGAAAATACCCAGGACACAAATGAAAAACATAATCAATTGGAAAAGAAAAACATAATCAATTTGCAAAAATTGCGCACACCAAGCAGAGATGAAGATATTTTGAACGTAAAGTATGGAGATTTTCTTTCGCAAATACGTTAGATTACAGAATAACCGGTGCGCAAAACGAAAGGAAAAAAAACTACACAAAAGCGAAAAACACAAACGGCGGCCACACATACAAAACACTGAATTACAAAAAAACAATCAAGGGATTTGGTTTCGTTCGCGAGTCACTTTGGGATGTTGCTTTTCGTTTCTATGTTTTCATCCTTTTCTCGATTTAACAATAAACAAATATTATCTCACACCGAAGCGGTTGAATAAACGCTGCTGAATATATGTAAGTATACGCACAAATCAAAAACCGACAAACAGAAAAAGAAGAATAATAAGAAGAGAAAAAAAAGCATGCTCCTTTTTCAATGGCTCGCATCCTAATTTATTACTGCTCGGCTTTCAGCGCAAGCGATTTATTTGCTCAGCTTCAACTTCATTTCCGCTAGTTCAATCTTCGGTTGCCCACTGCATTGTAATATGACGACGGCAGAAAAAAAATAGATTTGGGAATAATAAAAATGCGATAAAATGAAAAATGCCTAGCAGAAATCTTCAAACGTTCAATTCCGAAAGTATGTTTGAAAACAAAAGTCCGTTTCACATGGTTACAAAGCAAATTCATTTGCTTCTATTCTATATTTCCGTTGCTGCGTACACGCTCAAAGGCTGAAAATCAATCTGGAAACAGCATTTCAATGGAAATGAAAGGGAAAAAGAGAAAAATGTAAATCAAAGTGAAATAGACAATGGGAAATTGTGCGACCGGAAAAATATATTTAAAACAACATTGCGAAGAGGATGAATAAGAAGAAGCGTTTTACCGTTTTATGAATATTCCATGTTATAAAAGCGTATTTGCGTTGTGATGATTTGATAAATTTATACGTTCTCAGCTGCTTGTGCGAAAGCAGTGAATAGTTTGCCATTTGTTCGGGACAGTCTTACTTCTGTAGTAGTATGTTAAATAAAATCAACAAACTAATACGCTCTCCCTTTCTTGAACGGCCACAGCAAGAATAAGGAGGAAAAAGCCACCCCAAAAAGCACATGACAAGACGCAATGTGCTTCTGGAAGAAAATGAGCTTCAGCTTCTTCTAATCTGAAATGCCCGCATACTTGGCTTGACCAGACATTCCAATTGGCTACATTTCGAGCTCGGCTCTTATACAGTGGCAATGCGTTGATATAGGCAGGCTTGTTGAGAAATAACAGTAAAAACAAAAACAAAACAAAAATCTTATGCTTGCGATAAATAGCTGGCTGCGCATACAAGAGTCGAGCTCGATATGTAGCAGAACGGAATGTCTGGGCTTGACTCATCCACTCAAATTCATTTGAGTGTATTTACATTTGGGTTTTCCGTTTCTCCCTCTCTCTCGCTCTCGCTCCATGTTTTTATTAGCTATAAATCGCAGACGATAAAAATATTCCCACCCTGATTCCGTTGGTTCTGTTTATTGCTTTTTATGCTTTTAGTTCGTTACATCGTCGACAAATAGTGTCTCCAAATGAAATAACACCACTATAAACATCTGCCGTACCAAAAACAAAAACATCACTTGGCAGCGAGCACTTCGAATACTGCACAAAAAAAAATTCGTAAAACTTTTGTGTGAAGTCCTTGTACAAGCTCTTGAAAAAAAATACTAGCCACTTTGTTTGCTTATTACTGATTTGACAAATCCAATTTGCTACGAGGCATACAATTGAAATTGGCAACTTTTTACCATTGCTATATGAGCGCAATTTAATATTTCATGTGTCGACTGGCATTTATCTTAGTTGAATAATGGAACTGTGACTATGAATCCAAACGTGTGCGCGTGATCGAAATGGCATATATTGGCCACATGGCAACAGTTCGGTAGATCAAGTGAATTTCAATCGTTGAGACGAATTGAGACTTTTCTGTCTGATACTCTCAAATCCATAATGATGACTCATTCACAATTTTTGCATATTTGGCAGGAAAAACAACTCATTGCGCACAGACAGGTTTGAATCATTGAAGTCAAGTTCTTTTTTCTGCTCTGCATTCGTGCACAAGTTCAGCCAACGACGCGTATTGAAAACGCATAACAATACAATTCAACTAGGTATATATTCGATTGTGTCAGCGTCTCTAGGGAGAAAGAAAAAACAACATCAAAAAGGGTGAGAGCAAAAAAAGAAAGAAAAAAAACCTGCACACGATAAAGAAAGAAGGATGTTGAGAAAATATGAGATGTAAAAGCTTTCAATTGATCATTCGCAGACATACACACAGACAGACAAGCGCGCGCGCTTGTTGTTTATCTGTTATTCTGAACACTGAGCATCAACTTTTATTATATTGTCGGTGCTTTCATTCAACATTGATTAATTGTACGCGATGAGACTGAATCATTTCTTTTCTTTTCTTCTTTCGTCTTGACTTCAAGCACATTGTGCAAGAATTCGAGAAGAAGAAAAAAACGAAAACAATTTGTTATTTAACGAGCGAATTCATTTTTTTTATATAATCAATTGTATATTAAAAAGATGTGCACGTTAAAGGCCTATCGATAGATTAAATGCCATTCATCATCGCAGCACACAGTCGGTTGTTTTGTCTCAACGTTCTTTATCAGACAATTGTAAGCCAGCCCCCTTCAAATAAAATACATTCCAAATCAATGACATTTTCAATCATTTTGCATTCTCTTCTTTCTCTGCATTACTGTTTCGCTTTTAACAACTTTTTATTCTTAATTTGAACACATATGTTCGCATTTCCAATAAATTATTGATGATGAAACGGTTTTTACATGAACAAACAAAAAACCATGACCAATTTAAATTGCATTTCGAGGTTGCAATCAATTTATCTTGTTTTTTTTTCAATGAATTCACAACGTAAACAATAAAATGATGATTCCCACTTGATTTTATTACCTCGATGCATATGTTACGAAATACGAATTACACAGGATTACCGGAATTGAAAAATGAGAAATAAACGAGCTGAAAGGCGCACGTGAATTATATTTGTTTAATGAAGTGAGTGAACCAAACTCTACGGAGTAAAATGAATCTGAAAAACGTGGCCAAACATTGTTTTTCACTCTCGATTTCAACGCTACACTTGATAAAGTTTTTCAGTCTTTTAAAGTGGTAACATGCAGTTTTTATGCGTATTTGAATAAACTTTCGCTCTATTTGCAATAATGACCGTTGAAACAGTATGAACAAAAAAGAATCATTCCCAAGACCGTTCCAACATTCCTGTATACGGGTGCAAGAAATTGATAGTACTCTTTGATTTCATACTGAATAAGTAAGAAAAAATGGTCTTGTGTAAGTTTAAACACTAAAAAAAACTGTGCACTTCAATGGAAAATGCACTAAGGAGCAATTCGTGTTTCAAGTTAGTTGTGTATTGCCAAAAGTTGTAGACGGTACAATCCAATCGAGAGACTGCAGTACAGATTGTTTCTGTTTAACTACTGCACAACGGATTTTTGCTGTATTGTCCAGTGAGTTGTAACGAAACCTAGACGCATATCCGAATAAATTGTGAAGGAGGATGCTGCATTTAAAATCAATTGCAGCCAATAGAATTTCTTTTTTTCAAATACAAATTTTCACAAACTCTGCTACAAATATACCTCTTGTTTTCGGATCATAAGTAAAAACCTGAAAATGGGGGAAAAATGGGTGTCCCTGTCCATACGCTGCTGAAAAAAAAACCATTGAACACACTATGTTTTTGGACAACTTTTCGATAGCACTTAAAATGAAGCAGTAGCAGCAGAGAGCAACCACCACCAACACGTGCTATAGCAAAGGGCCATATACTCGAGAGAAATACGGTGCACAGTTGTGTCAGGCAATATTTTACGAACGCCACAAAAACTTTTTCCGTTTCGATTTATACAGTTTTCGGTGTGGCCAAGCCAAGTGTGATAGATCTATTGCGATAATTTTTCGCACTATGGATACTCGCATGACGATGAACCAATTCAAGGGCCAATGGATAAAATAATAAATTGGAAAGCAAGAAATACCAAGACAACCGTAGACGTACTGAATGACAGCAAAGTTATGTTGAAAAGTTATGTAACCAAGCATCGAAAGAGACACACGTTCGTAGCCGTTATTTGGAAGCTAGTCTCCGAATCGTGTAAAATACTTAACGAATTTTCTATTTCGGCCCAATTGAAAATCGTGCACGAAATTTGTGAGATTTTGTCACATTGACCCATAGCAATACGAGAAAAAGCATATATAAGAGATTAAAACATTGGCCGAACAATAAAGATGTGGTGCACAACACAGATTCAATTGGTCAACAACGTCGTAAATCTTACGGAAAAGAAGAAGCACAGTTAACTTAATAATGTCGAGTTCGAAGGAATAGGAAAAAGTGCGATTATGTCAAATTAATAACAAATGCTTAGCACTGCTAAAAAGCAGTCATCGTAATAGCTTTTGGACAGAGAGAGAATGTGGGCCAGAGTGACCAAATATTTATGGGATGAACATAAATTACAGCAAAGACCTTTTTACGCGTTGTCATTAGGCATATTTTAGGCGAAATAGTATGCATTTGCTCATCTTACCGGTGATTTTATTTTTCTCATTTCATTTTCTTCGCTATGAAAAGAGCATCCAATTCGCCAGACGGACCGAGATCACTTCCGCGCCGTGGTATTAAGTCACGTTTACTTCAGTTTGCATCAAACTATGGGTAATTTATTAAAAACCAAGCAACGAATTGAATGGCTTTGACACTCTATTAATCAGATTTTTCACTCTTGAAACTGAAACTCAACACCTGCTTGACCAATGTTGGTTCAAACTTGGTTCAATCCAAACTTTAGTCATGCAAATGAATGGAACATATATCATTTGATCAACTTTCGCAGTTTATTTTTAGTCTAGAATACTTTTTTATCAATTCAACCGAAGGCTGTCCGCCAATTTCTTTAGATTTCGATATTAATTTTTGAAAAATTTAATTCCATTTCCCTCCTCGAAACTGGGATAAATGGAGGTATGTGGATAAAATCTGCTGTCGAATACAATCGATTCGGTGCGAGCGTTTTTTTTATGTTTGTAATTAATTTGATTGAGCTGAAGTAAATGTGTTTACGCAAAAACGGACCAATGTTGATATGGAGAGAAAAAATGCTCATTATCGAAACGCATATTAACCACGAACACATTTTGTTTTGCCATTTTTATCTACTCATTCAGCCAAATAGTAGCTATGGATGGTTTACAAACGGATCGATACATGTTTTTAACACACTTTAGCCATCATTCAATAGTTTGAAAGAAAAAAAAACAGTTAATGAACAAAGAATTTTTTTCCACGAAATTCAAAGGTTTCGAAATTGTGCGTGACAGCCTTCAATAGTTCTGCCTTTTTTGTGCCCAATATTATCGACCTTATGTCACATTTTTTCTATTTTAAATTTTAATTCATCTGGTAATATTTGACGATTTGATGAACTGTCAAATGAAAAAAAGTTCATAGCAATTTAACGAAATTTGATCGCATGATATATTTGGAAATTCTCGTCAAAGTCGAGAGTGAAAACGAAAGTGCATCGACACAAACAATTTCGAAAGCTTTGACAATCAGTGTGGAAAATTCGATTGATTAGCGTGCAAATGCACTCACACAACAAATAATAGCACGTTTTTCAAAATCTTGTGCATTTTTATTGGATTCACAGGTACATTTTTACGATAGTCAGCTACTTGATAGGCGTGTTTATATTTGCAACAATTGTGGGTCAAGTGGGCAATGTGATAACCAATCGAAATGCAAATCGACTGGAATTCGAGAGACTCTTAGACGGTGCCAAAACCTATATGCGACATCATAAGGTAGGATTTGCACTCATGCAGATAGAAATGGAAATGATTTTATCGAAAAAAAATTTATTTCTTTCTCCCTCGTAGGTACCCGGTGGCATGAAACGGCGTGTGCTGCGATGGTATGATTATAGCTGGTCACGTGGACGGATCCAAGGTGGTGGTGATATCAATACGGCATTGGGTCTACTACCTGATAAACTAAAAACTGAATTAGCATTGCACGTTAATTTAAGCGTGTTGAAAAAGGTTTGCTACTACATTTCACCTGTTCACTTCGCTTGAGTCCATCATGTAATTTAGAAGAGTTGATGTTCTGGTTAACATGTGTGCGCATTTTTTTTCGTTCCAAATGTTACTATCAACCCCATTAATTTTATATCAATTAAGACATTTTCATTAAAGCCATTTGCTGCAGCAAAAACTAACCATAACAAAAACATGAATGAAAAAGGGTTCTCACCATGAAATTTGCATGAACTTACAAATTCATGAACTCATGTGTATGAAAAAGGGCCTTTGTTAGAGGCTAAAGGTTCTACTTCAAGCAAAAACAATTCATAAATCAACTCATTCCATACTATCACCTTCGAAAATTTGATGCTTTCATTGTGCTTTCGAAAACCGCCTCCATACGTAATATTACGTATGTGATGTGTCAGAAATGCCGAAACTTCAGAGCATTTTATTTCCTTTGAAGTTGTTAGGCACACAGATTGTTGATCTCTGTAAAATTGCTTGCTATCTTTATTATTTGTTTGTGCTTCTGAGCTTCCCGCATTTGTTTGATGTGGCTCCCCGTATTATGTATCCGTCTCTAACCGTCTATCTTCTTGTTTGTTTCGTCTGTCTTTCTTCTTTGCCGCAATGTTTCTTTTGTTGTGTGCTGCAGGTGACAATTTTCCAAGAGTGCCAACCGGAATTTCTACACGATTTAGTGCTAAAAATGAAAGCGTACATTTTCACGCCCGGCGATTCGATATGTCGTAAAGGTGAAGTAGCACGTGAAATGTTTATCATAGCTGACGGTATTTTAGAGGTGCTCAGCGAAACCGGTAAAGTGCTGACTACAATGAAGGCTGGCGATTTTTTCGGTGAAATCGGCATCCTCAACTTGGACGGTTTAAACAAGTAAGTCATCTGAATAATTTAACCAATTTTTAGCTTTGATCGCATGAAAAACCAATTTCTCTCATTTTCTCTCTTTGTAACTTTGAATAGACGAACGGCCGATGTACGATCGGTTGGTTACTCGGAATTGTTTTCATTGTCACGTGAGGATGTGTTGGCCGCAATGAAAGACTATCCAGAGGCTCAAGATATACTGCAAACATTGGGCCGCAAACGATTGATGGAAGTGCGATGTGTCAACAAGAAGCACGCTAAAAATGTGGCCGAGCGTGAGAGTATAGCAAGTAACGTGCATCTTCGCAATAAAAATCTAGATAACAGTAGTGATAGTACATCTAAACGCATTGTAGATAAACTGCGGAGCGAGGCAAAGGGGATAAAGAATGTGTTGAAAAAATCCAGATGGTGAGCTGAACCTATATAGAAGATGCACGCAAAAAATTCATCTCATTTTTTCTATCATGCAACTTAATCTTTACAATGAATCATTTTTTGCATTTGGTTTGCAGGGCGACGGGCCGAAGGAGTAACGAGTCAATTGAATTACAGCCGCTTCACTTGCAGAAAGGCCCAAAAGGAGTTTTACGACGGATGCCACGTGTTCGATCTGATGAAATACATGAGACACCTGCTGACCAGGCACAGCATGTACAGGCACAGCATGTACAGGCTCAGCATGTTCAGGCTCATGCTCATGAAAAGGACAAAACACCAAGTCCAATCGGTGCCGGTTTGCCGTTGCTGCAACGACTTCGATTACTTAAGGAAAAACAAGTCAGTTTACATTTGATTTACGACGCTAATCTGAAATTTGCTCATGCAATTTGGTATTTTACTTGAACTTTAGTTCGAAAATGCGTTTTTTTTTTTCGTTTAATTTTAAATTATTTCAAATGGCATTCGCGATTGAAAGCAGCGTATTATTTGTATGAGAACAAAATGACGATGAAACGAAGAATCTTCTCAAATCTATCGTTATTTTCGTCTCATTCATAAACTTATCGACTTTGAACTGCGGATGAATTACTTAAAATTGCTTTCTCTTTTCTCTCTTTTTACTCAAATCGTTCGTAATTTTCATAATATCATCCAACTTCGAATCCACGCACAATGATGGCACAATACTCAGAAGAAAGCAAGTGTTTCACAATCTTCCCATAATAATGTTTGTGTTTTAAAGTATAATTCATTAGATGACATCAATGTGATGATAATGATAATCAGTCGAGTAGTTCGATTTCGATGCAAAAATTTTGAAAGAAATCACGAGTATCTGTAGAAAAAAAATCTTACAATTGTTAGAACTTCCAACACAAACTATCCATAGTGACAAACAATTCTACGCCTTATCGATCTCCCAATGTGCTGTAATGGCATGACTCTCATTTAGATTCTAAGTTTTAGAAATTAACATGTCATTGGAGTCTTAGCAACGCCTAATATAAATGATTCCCAAAGTAATTTTTGATAAAATTGACAGTCCGATGCCATCGTAGTATTGAATCCCGTTGGTTAGATCGTCCTATTTAACAAGTATTCAAACAGAAAATCTATTGTGTGCCTGGAAATGAAATGAAATTGTCCTTCTGCCAAATCAACCGCTTCGATCTGGTTTTAAGTTTTTTTTTTCTTTCATTTGGCTTAACTCCTGTAAAATATTGCTGCTTCTTTCTATTAACTTCCACTATCCTTGTAAATAACAAATTTTAGCCATTAGAAATGTAAGAATCTGAAGAAAGAGATTTCTTTTGTTCGAGCCTTTCCAAACCAGTGCAGTCAAAAGGACTTAAAGTAAATGTATATTGATTTTTTGGTTGGTAATATTTTGTACATTTCAAAATTTTGGCACGAAACCACCTCATCTCTTTCTTCACACTGTGTCCGTTCAACCTAGCAAAAGAGTTGAAACTAAAAACATAAATTACTTTAGTTGAAATAAGTGTTACAGTTTTTTTCCTTCACCCATGTATGTTGCTTATTAGACAATGTGTCGTTTTTTTCCCTTTTTTCTCTCTTTTTTCTCCAACCATGTCTTCATTTGCCCAATCACCCTCTGGTATTTGTGTCGGCGCAAAACACATACACGTTTTTTTTATCGACTTATCATTTTATTGTTTGTTTGATTTCCGTATACTTGATGTGTCCTGTATTTCGTGTACACATTTTTATGCGTTTGTAATTATTTGGAAACCCAAAAACAAAAACAAAACAAAAAAACGAAAATGCACTGATCATTAGGATCGCGAAGAGCGAGCTGTAAAACCTGCACAACCAATGATACCATCACCACAAAATACTCATGTTAGATCTGCTGTTTCACCACAGCAATCAATTCAAGAAGAGAACGAACAACAACCGGATGTTGTTGGTCCTGGTTTGCCGCTAATTAAACGTTTATTATTGCTCAAAGCCAAGGAAGAACGTATAGCTAAAGAAACACAAGGAAAGGTAACTATTGTCGTCAATGAAATCATTTCATTTGTTCCGCACCTGTGCACATTTTGATGTTTATCTTTCAATTTTCGGTTAATTTTGTTTGTTTTTGCGAACATATTCGTTTTGTTTTTGTTCATAAATCAGCCAACGCAACCGGCAGTAACGACAATAAGTGATTCGGTCGCATCGAATGCGATGTTGATTTCCTTGAAAGCAACAACGAATACAACGACCAGTCTGATGGCTGGTTTAATGCCAACTTCGATGCCCGCACCAGTTGCAAGCTCGTCGGTCAAACCGAAAGTTTCCTTCCGTGATCGCATCAAAAGTTTACAGCATTCGGATAGCAAACAGGTACCATTTGTATCAGCAATGACTGCCAGTAGCACAATTGCTGACAAAGAGCACAAACCGACCAGTGATGACAAGGAAAAGCTCATCGAAGCCGCACCGTGCACAGCAAGCATCAGTGTGGTGGCCAGTACCTCGACCAGTGGAAATGGGAGACCCACAAAATCATCCGGTGCCCTTTCGTTTAGGGACAAAATAAAGCAACAGTTGGGTCATCAACATGCCCGAAGTGAAGAAATACAAACGGCACAACTGAGACCTTGGTCAAAACTTAAATTGGCCACCGTGTTAAGTGGTGGCAGCAGCTATGCAAGCCTGAACAATAGCTTTACCGATTCACCAAAACATATGCAGCATCAACAGCAACAACCGCTCATCAAAATAGCCAAAATTAGACCAACGACCAGCGCACGCGTATCAATTCCAGCGAGACAAAAAGCAACGACCAGCAAATCAAGATCTGCAACCGCACAAAAAGTTGATAGTTTGAGCGTGAAAAGTAGCGAACGCATTTGCACAAGTGACAGCGAAATACGGCATTCGGAATGGCAATCGAACAATAAATTGAAATTCCAATCGCGAACACTGAAATCGTGTGGCGAAAAGAAATGTTATCGATCAGTTGATGATCTATCGCCCGAGTATGGTGGCCTTCCATTTGTCAAGAAATTGAAAATCCTTAACGAACGACAAAAATTGGCCGAATTGGAATCGGTGATGACAACGCGTAGCTTTAGCCTCGATTGCCCCGAATGGAGCGATGGCAACGAACCAGAGCCATTGATTCGTAGCCATAGCGAAGGATCGGGCATGCCCAGATCCAGAATATCAACAATAACCACAGTCGCACCCACATCTTATTTGAATACGACCAACACAATAGTGGCAATAGCACCATTGAACATACCCAGATCACCAGTCAGTCCGGAATCGAATGAAACGCAGGAGAGACGGGAATTGAAGAGCATTTTGAAAAAATTGTCCGAAGAGAAGAGCGTAGCGACCACACCGTCGCAACCAAATGCAGCGATTAACGAAGCAGATGAATTGAAAGGATTGCTGAGTGCGCCGACCGTCGAAGGGTACGTTGCAAGACACAGCAAATTTATGAAGAGCGTAACCTTCAATTCAACTCTTTCCAGTCCGCCGCAAAGTGCGCACAGTGCGATCGACGAACGTAGTTCATTCCCACTGCTGTCGGGCGCACAATCACCCAACGAAATGACAACGTTAATTCAAGTCGAACACCACAAACAACAACAACAACAGCAACACATCCAATCTGATCAATCTTTTTTATTATTACCCGACAGTATAAATAGTAAAGCTAGTAGTTTAGAGGACGATGTAGCGATCGCCGATGATATGTTCTTGTCACAAGAGCAATTATCATTGTCGCCACACCAGCTGTTCGAGAGCCAACCGCAGAAAATCGAGGAGAGCAGCCCGTTGAATGGGTCTACAAATCCATTTATCTCTAATAAAATTAAGGTCAAAGGTAAATACAAACCAATTAGATACCGTTCATTTCATCCATTCATTTTAATTTCTACACTTGGTTCTTCACACACATTCTCTTTTTTCGTGATTGTTTTGATCGACAGCATCCACATTTTTCACATACTTATTTGTGTTTTCTGATTGCTACTACAATTTATCTGTATCACCTATTCATTCACATTTCATTTTGCCATTTTCATTTATAACACGCAACACACACACTTATGCTAGTTGTTAATATCAAAAACCAAATTTGCAACATATTCTACTCACTATCCTTTGCTATCTCTTGTCTCGTTTCGGACTATCGATTGGAAATGAACTTTGGCCCCACATCATTTGTTATCAATTTAGGAAAAAGGAAATGAACTTAACTCTAATTAAATTATCTCTATTACGAGAGTTACTTACGTTAAGTTCATCATCTTTTTGCTATTCATTCATCCTAAATTTCATTCACATCGAATCTTGTACATATCATTCACCATCATCATTAACATTAATCACGTAAAAATCCCTTTTCTCATTATTATTTCATCCCATGAACAAATAATTTAAGAAAAAAAAATCAAGAAAGGTATTGCAGATCCCGCTTCTCCAACACAAAAACCAAAATAAGTATTTACGAATGTTTTGAACAACACCTGACCTGAGAAATATTATTTGATGTCACCACCAATTGAATTTATTACGATTATAAAACAATTTGAATTTCAATACTTCTGTGATTGTATATAAACCTTTGTTTTGAATTTTGTACATAAAATTACACAAGTGTGTTATATTTTGTTTCATTTTCTCTCTTTTCCCGTTTGTAAAAAACAAATTGTGTAACTTTGAAACCAATTTTGACTTGATTTTTTCTGAATGTGATCCCCAATTTTCCTACTAGATCAGCTTGAACCTTATTGCTTTTAGTAATGATGTTCAGTTCGTTGAAATTGGCAACTTTGGGGTAGCACCAATATTTTGATATTTTGATTTTTCATTTTTGTTTTCAAACTTTTTATCAAAATTTTAACCGATTGGCATATACTTATATATATACACACACAAGCACGCATTTGCACGACAAACAGCTCCGATTTTGATCAGCTTACAAATTGTATAAAGTCAAAAACCTAAGCAATCACACGCTTGTTTGACCCAAGTTTGTTTTTGTGTTTCGAATGCATTTTTTCAAAAGTTAAAAAAAAAGAAATTGTATCACATTTTTTCTCTTTCAAATTTGTATTTTGTGCCCTTTCGAAATTAATGCGCAAAATATTTGATTTTCATTTTGATTCGATTACAACAAAAAATTGAAATATTTTTCGTTTGCTAATCGGATGTTGTTTCCTTTTTTTCATTTCATTTCAATTTCTGTTTGTTAACGAACACATTTTTGGAATGCAGGTTCAATTGAGGAACATGAGTTGTTTAGCGAAGTATTGATAGGCATAAAGAATGTGATTTCAACACATTTACGGGACGTTCAATTGAAATTCGAAGATCACTTTCAATCGCTCGATTTCGAAATACGCCAACGTGACGTGATGATCGATCAACTGCAGCATCGAATATTAGAGCTGGAAAATGGGCATGGATCACCCACAAATGTGTACATTGCTGCTACATCTGGGACTGGAAACGGTAGTACGGGATCATCTGGTGATATTCCGTTCGTGGTAAGAGACAATTCTCAATACAAATATTTTTCTATCAATTACTTTCATTGTAATCATTTAAATCATTCTTTTGTAGCGTGGAGATTCATTGGATACGATTTTTGCGTCGTCGCCCCCACCAACGGATAGTGAACGCGAAAATAGGGTTAAATCAAAAACAAAGAAGCGAAGCTCACCACGACGACGTCACCAATTGGAGCAACAACAACAAGGGAGTACTGATCAAGAGACCGCCTCCTATGAGCCAGTAACACATTTGTCACAGCTGCGAAACAGTTCAAGCATGATAATCGACAATGTAACTGGAAATATTACTCAATTGTCAGACTCAGTCATTCTGAACATTGATACGAGCTCAGACACTAGTTCCAGCATCGATGACGATGTACACGAAGAGGAGGAAGAAGGTGATGACGATATACGTGAAGGTTAGCAAATTGATCTTTTACTTGTGTTCTGAACCGATAATCAAAAATTTTAATTTTTTTAGAAGAAGACGAAGACGACGACGATGTGGATATTGACGATGATTTAAATCATGATAACTGGGAGATCAGGATGTTGGCGGCTGAATTGAATAGACGTGAAAGTAGGCGCGATGAACCGCTCAGTTCCGAAGCCAGCGAGGCAAATGAAAGTTCATCACGACAACATCTTCACATGCGCAGCGACATTTTGGATACGGATACCGAAAACAGTGAATTAGAAACTGATCGTATACAAAGGGGACGTGCACGTTCCGCTAGTTTTGACCAGCAAAGCGTGCCACGGCAACGGCCTAGAGGCATTTTAAAAGCTTTCAGTTTCGATCGAGATAAAAATCAACTTTGAGGGTTAAGTTATAGCGAGTTTTGTACATATGCACGCCTATTAACGTAAACGAACAAAAGGCCACACACAATTTTCAATATAAAAAAAGACAATTTAACACGAATCGAAATTAATGTAGACATACTTGTTTTTTCACCGTTCAAAAAAAAGAGAAAAGAAAAACAAAAAAGAAACTCTTCATTTTATACTCAAATTAAAAATTCTTATGGCAATACGTTTTAATATTCGAGAGACTATCCTTTGTTTATACTGCAATAAAGTAATTTGAATGAAGTCCTTTTAATCACTATTATTGACTCAATAATAATCTATTGCGAGCGTATTTAATCCATGAAATTTATATTCGTAGTCATGCGAACTTAATGAGAGAGGACTTAATGAACTGCACTCGAATCAATTAGCACCAAAAAGCACTTGAGTATTTACAGTGCCGTAGCGTGTTTGTTGGCATTGTACCAAATGAATTCAGCGTTTGCAAAACGTTGCAATTATGTAGTCAACACCAACAATTACATACGCATTTCGAAGATGTGCCCACGCTGTGCATGGTTTTCACTCATTCGCCTTCTTGTGTCATTCTTGCAATACGAATTCGAAATGAAGGGACTTCAAGAGTTGAGAAATGAATAAAACCAAATTTAATGTGAAATCATCATAAATTTAAGCTTTTTTTATAACCAAATAAGACCTATTTTGAGTCAATTTCGATCGCATGTTGATAACACACTGGCACTGAAACTATCATTAGTGCTTGTCGATCACAAAATATTGGAAGTATTATATTAGATAAAATAAGTGGCGAACGATAGATGAACAACCATTTTTTTGCTCCACATCTGGCTTTGCATTTCGTATGACATCGAACGTCTTCTTCAGTTTGGAACTTGAGATCTCTATGAACCTGACAAAAAATTAAAACTTAAATGCCGATTTGGGCATCAACTTTCTCCACTCAGCTCAAAATCTGAATCAGTGTCCTGGATCAAAAAATGGTTGTGTCGTCTTGTCGGCCAATTGCAAATAATTAATTAATTTGTACATATAAAAACCAAAAAGCATAATTCTACAATCCTCTTTCGTTTTCGTCCTTAAAACAAATGTAATTAAACCAAACCAAAAGAGTGCTTAGTACCTAAAACAAAAGAAAAACCTGACACAAACAACAAAAAATTACTACTAAACGTTAAAACATTAGACACCGTTTATTTCAAAATAAATTAACTTTAATTAGATTAACTTAAATCAATGTGAAGAAATTATAAGAAAATCGTTAGTCAAATAGAGAAATCTGAAAAATGAATAAGACCATGATCATCATCAACTGTGTTGAGGTAAATAGTGTTCATTTCGCAAGTACAAAATATGTTTTCCGTACATTTATTTTTTCGTTCCTTGAATTGATTCTGTGTAATAATACCTAACTATGCATTTATCGTGTTCATTTCGAGTCTTTAGATAATTTCTTTCAATGTTTAGTCAGACTGGTTCGCTTAGTACAACTGCAACGGAATTAATTTGTCACATTAAATTCAATCTCATTTGACATCGCCATGTGAATTCATTTATTTTGACACGAAAATCCACCCTCATACACTTCAACTTCACATTATATAAGTGAATATGTAGCTATTCTATGAATATAAGTTACTTTTCGAATTTTTCCCATTCATTGTGTCAGGTTGAATCTAAATAAATAGAATTTCATGTTGGATTTTGCTGAAATCATCACCACGATATCCGGTGTGTTTCACAAAACCAAACGAAAGTAAAAGAAAAACAATTCTATTTTAAATCGTTATTTACTAGATGGTTGAACGTTATGAATGTTCTCAATGGTAGCCACTAAGAAATTAGCATTTAAAATTGAACCGATTAAAGAGAGAAGACAATTTAAACAAAATAAATAAAATACATAAAGTTATATTTATAATTTATCTGTGATAGCAAACAGAAACTATGACAAATTATTTGAGGAACGAATTTGATTCGAACGACGATAAATAAATGTCCCATTCAAACACACGATTCCTTGATTCCGAGATCAACAAGTTCCTGTTGACACCATTCATGCAATAACTTTCGTTTCATTCGGTTATTTTTCTGTGAAATTGATAAAACACGTGACATATCAAATCAATGACAAACATTTAAAAAAGAAAACCATTCCAATTTTTCCATTCGACAAAGCAAAAATATGTCTTGCACCATCAATGAAAGTATCATGACATATATGTGTATTCCATAGATTTATTTTTCTTCAAATTCGATAAGATCCAAAAACAATTGAAGCTAAAGAGAGGGGAAAATACTCAAAACCATATTACTGAACAATAGAGAGTGACCGATTTCAATGAAAACCATTTTTTTTTTCAAATAAAATCAGTATTTGCAACCGTTTATTAGTTTTTTTTTCAACATTAACTTTAATTAAAGGAAAAACGAATGGAAGAGGGGAGAACTAATTTCAAACTCTCAGCGCAGGTGCAAAATGTTAAGGGAATAGATTTCATTTTCTTTTCGTGTACTCGTCTCGATCGAGTGCACACGATGAAAATTATAAGAAATATGTCATTTATATTTCCATACGAAATATAAGTAAATGGACCGACCAATATGATATAATGAATGATTTGAATGTTATAGAATGTATAAAAAAAAGAGATACGTATGTATGTTTATATAGAAACGTTTAAAACAATAATAAAAGAAACAAACTCGTTTAGATTTCTATTTATTTATTTCCGAGCAAAAATCAAGTGTGAGAAACTTTTAAGTGCCTACATGGCTATCTGCTTCAGTTGTTTTCTTCTCGTTTTGATTGTTTTTCCGATCTTTCGTTTTATATCTCCGAGATGAAGAAAGGCAAAGATATGCAAAAAAAAAACCAAAACAAGGAAAAAGATAGAGATTTAAATTTACTGCACCGAACTCAAGCGATGATATCGAAAACTTGAGCTCACAAACATTGAACTAGACTTATTATGAATATTATAGAGAGAACCATTGAGCACCAGGTTTATTAAGAAAAAAAAATAACAACCAAATTATTTCAATTGATATGATATGAAGATATAGCATTTAGTAATGGGGACAAAAAAAAACACAAAACTATAGTAAATCGTCATGTAATATTGAATTAAAACAAATGCCCTATAAGAAATAGAACTATATTTACGAATCTGTTAGCTAAGACGGTTGAATATTTGATGAACAAATACAACAACAACAAATACCACAAAATAAATTCAACACAACAATGGTATATTGTAAAAATTATTTTTCAGTTTGGAGCGAATTGAAATTTAACTCAAAATGGAAATTTAGAATTAACAACTATGAAATGATATGGAATACATAGACAAAGGAAACTGAAATTGAAATAAAAATTACTAGACATTTTAAATTAATGACAGTGCGTTTGATTTTATTTTCTTCTTCCAAAATAGGAAAATATGTGAGAAAAATTCTTGTAGAGAATTCCATGACCTGGGGTTAGTATTTGGAAAGTTACTCTTACATATTCCAAGTGCTTTTGGGCTATTTTCGAAAGTGAATATTTGTTCATAGTTATTTGACAAAAGAAAGGAAATTAAATCAAAATACCGAAGAATCTCATCTAAAACACTGCAAGTAAGTCAAAACACTGTAACATGTACCATAAATTAACTATTTCATCATATTTTCGCTTCCTTATTCAAATGCTCTTTGGCTCTGTCTCTTTTTTACGATACTCACTTGTGCTCCGAGGAGTAAATGATTTCATACTTTTGTAGGTCAAAGCGACCATTCGTTGTCATGCACTGAGCGTAATTTATCGTGTCATCGAGAGTCTGTGAATAAATGAAGACGCTGCGGGGAACAATGTACATAATGTCTTGAATAGATTGTATCATTTTATTCTTCCACATACTTCAGGGTGGTGCTTATAAATGCTTCGTCATAGAAAACGTCCATATTGTTAGTTTCATTCAGCGTTTGTGTTGACAAACTCATGTATTGCATGTTACATGACACATGAAAAAAACCATCGTCTCATATTCATGCGTTGTAAAGCAATTTGGATTTGACTTTTTTTTGACAGATGATAACTATCTTTCGGGAAAGTGCAAATAATGAACAAAAAATCTTCTGCAAAGAGGGCATTGATCTTTATATTACATTTGTGCGACACTCGTTTGTCCTTAGCCATGTGTATTGTAGCTATTGATAAAAAAATACATCTTCATTCTAATGTAAAAAAATATTTTTGAATGAAACAATATTGAAATATATCTCACATTTGGCAAGAATTGCGTTCATAAATTTTGTTGCGTACGAACTAAAGCAGTGCTTTTCAAACTTTTTTTCAGCGATATCGGGTCAATAGCCTCTTTTTTTATGAAAAGAAGAAAATACAGAAAATACCATTGAAAAATGGTTTTTTTTTTCAATCATCAATGAGATGGGTGGCATTTTTTATTTTCTGTGAGATTATTTAAGTCGAGCGTCGTTGTGCATAGTATACAAAGAAGTTAAGATTCTAAAATGTTGTCGACTATGAGATAATACAATACGACATGTAAAATTCAAAAGTGAAGCCTCAAAATCGAATTCGGAACCATAGGCACGACATGAGCGAACAGCACTGATGTACTGCTTACAGCGCCGAGTACTCCCGCAGTGGTGAGAAACTGAAACACACCAATCACCAATATTGATGTTCACGATCATCAAATTGTTCATACTAAATTTTATCCACTTTAGGCACTCATAACTGCACATAACCACTCATAAAAATAAAATTCTTGATTATTAGAATCACATATCAAGTTTACATGCTAACTAAAAATCAAATCGGGAAAATTATAAGTAAATTCGGCAAATCGACGAATTACCGAACGTTTTTTGTGTTTTCGGCAAAATATCGAACTATCAACAATATTGTCGAAATTCACTCACATCGGATTCCATTTTCACAGGAATTCAACACTGTCATTGATGCAATTCACATGATAAATTATCTGAATTTATCAAAATATCCGATCGAACAAATGCAGAAAGACCAATTTGGAGTAAACGGAAAATGTAAGCAGAAACGAACTGTCCGTCGCGTTTACTGACACGACAGTAGAGCTCGACTTATGTTCATATTGAAAATACTTGTTGTTGTTATTGTCGTATGATACCCGTGCTGTGGCCCGTGGCCACCAATTTTACTCGCGTGGCCACAAGTGACCAATACAGCACTAAACAAATGGAACCTTGAATTGTTGTGACTCTTAATCAAATATTGATCAACCCTTTGAAGCAAAAAGCATACGATTGCAATAGACGTTAATCATCGAATTTGAAAGAGAATAAACTAAGTTTTATTTGTGAAGTTTTCAAGTCGGCCATGTGAGAGCATGAAGTAATTTTTAGGTGGACTGTTTTTTCTCTTTCTGAAACAGCAGTTCTATCTCCTTATTTATAGATCGAAAGAAATATGCATGAGTCAAATAGAAAGTTTCAAGAAGAAGGAGAAGCAATTGTTTCTGGAAAATTTATTCAAGTGTGTACTTTATTTTCAGAAATGTCATCCACGGCCGTTGAAACTAAGGAAGGAAACATAACGGACGCTGCAAGTCGAATTTCATATGAATATTTTGTATTTTATTGATTTTCGACGTACGTATACATTCTGAATATGAATACTCCATACGGTAGCGTGCAAAGCACGACGCTGGCGAAGCAATTGTTTCGGGCGGCATTTTTTTGAGGGCGGCAAAATTGGTAAAATTGGAGTTTGCACTAGAGAGAATTGAGTTTTAAAAGTGATGACCTTTTTTTGCTCTTCAAATTTAGACTTTGGGCGGCATCTTCGCAAAATTGGAGCTTACACTGGATAGAATTGATTTTCAAAAGTGATGACCTTTTTTTGCTCTTCAAATTAAAAATTGGGGCGGCATTTTGATTTTGGGGCGGAAATTTGCTTCGGGCGGCAAATTTCCTTTGCACGCAGCCGACTCCATATTTAATCGGTAAATGTTATAAATAGCAATTTCTGTGTCAAAATATATCATAGAATAACAAATACGATGCGGTGCTCGTCACATTCAATTACGGATGATTTTGAGGGTTGTTTCCATCCTTCAAGGAGAAAATTGAGTCATTCTCTCCATTTATAAATAGAATTAATTTCCAAAACACGTCTATTTTCAATAAATACATATAATGTGTATCTATATACAATACATCATACATTTTGAAAATTTAAACACTTATAAACAAACAAATCGTTTTCACAGCAACATTTTCGACCAACATTAGTTGAATCGAAAATCAAGTGAGCTGAGAAATTCGTTTATTATTATTTATAACGTTTCGTCATCAAAAATGAAAGATTTTCGGCCGTTGATGAAGCCGACACACATCGTTAACATTCGTCGTTACAGTGATCAGCTCAACAGGGATAGTTTTTTCATTGTTGTGGGGAAAATATTAATTGAATATAATCGAATACACAGCGGAATGTCGTAAATTAATTGATCTAATAACCATAAACCATATTCAAGTAGTGTGCTTATGAAAGCAACTGTCATCTTTTGTACGTTATTCCAATTGATAATATCGGAATGTATTGACGTCGTTTGTGGGATTGCATACGCTAAGGCGTTTTTTTTTCTCTCGACTGATCCAATTTTATATTGACTTCTACGCAAAACGAAAACTCTCTCTCCTTCTCCTTCGTAGAAATTTCATATTCAATCAATTGAGGCGTGATGTCGTGTCTGTATCGAATTCATTGAGCGACACAAACGAATAATTTATTTACGACTTTTCGAAATGAATTCAATTAAAACTTATTTATATTCAAGACTAACGGGCTTACTCGAATCAATGACGACCAGAACAGAACCGAACATTCCATACCAAAGCAGTCGTTGTGTGTATACGTGTGTGTTCACACAGTGGGTATGCGTGTGTATGTGTATGAATGTTGTTTGAACTATATCGATATGCTGTGATCGCCTGACTATCGGCTGTTGAAATTATGTATCCAAATAGCATCACCGCATGTCATGGTGTGCGTGAATGAATGATGCAAACACATTGGTGGTTGTAGAAGAAACTTGACAGCTATGCGCATTTGATACAATGATACAACGTGTATCGTGTTGACTTTCAATGAACAAATTCTAATATATTTCGTTTTTCTTTCCACAAAATAAATCGATTTATAAGTTAGTTGTTCGATTGCACGCATTGTGAGAACTTGTTGCAACCATTGTGATTTTATTTTTGAGTTTTTATCTTTTTCTTTTATCGAAATTTTTAAATTATGCGACTACCTTTTTTAATTCATCGACGCGAGTGATTTTTGTTTGAAGATTTCTTTTTATTACGTCATAAACTATAATGTGAATTCAGTGGAACAGACCAGCCAGTGGCTCTATTGTGAAATAATTCTTGAATGAGTTTCCGCAAAAAAATCGCTAAACATACGGTAAGTGAGGAATTTTGTGTCAGTCATCACTGATGACACTGCGAATCGGAACCTGATTCCATTGGAATTCACGTGCGTTCTCTTTTGAAAAACGATCCGAGTACTAACGAGCGTGAGACGGTCGTTGTGCTGATATGACATTATTTATCGAAAACAATGATAAAAGAAATACTGATATTTAATCGGTTGGCCGTATAGTCTGAGTCGCACAACAATTCGATAAATCATTCATCACTAACCCGAGTCCATAATCTGCACTACAATGCTTCCTTCTCGCCTTTTTTTCCTGCCCGGTATATTCGTATTCAGAGCCAGTTCTTTTTCAGTTATCTTCGTCATCTTCATGCATCGAACGTTTTGTCATTACACTTGTTTACGCAACAAATCGCGAGTAAAGTCCAAGCACGACGGCAATATCGAATGTTGAGCATCGCATTACTTTGCGCATTACCAGAAAATGAAACAAGCAACAAACAGTTCACACGTTGATTTAAAACGTTGATCGTTGTTTATCGAGCAGAAGCGCGGCGCTAAGATGACGTGTTTGTGAAGCAAAATGACCGAGCGATTAAAAAAAAAGTCGGAGACTATTTTGAACAGTGATGGAGCCATTTTTTTTGTGTTTACAACGTTGTTGATATTAGGTGAGAGAGATAAAAAATTTTTGTATGATGCACACGTTTTGTTTTCATGCTAATCTCTAAATGATGATTTTCCATGATATCAAACAACAATATCCAAAAGTGCTTGCGTCAAATGGAGATTCCACTTATTACTCATTGGCTGATTCTGCCTTCCGTGTACGTATCCATCGATTGTTGTACCGTCCATTTTTGGTCTAAACATCCAAATCGGTGTGTTTTTGGCATTTTTATTATTCCAGATTGAAAATTTGAAGAGCTAAAGACCGATTCATGTATTCACTCATTTTGATTTGATATTCTAATTACGTTGTCTCAATGGTTTTATCGCAAGATCCCACGCAGCTACGGAAGTGGTTTTATCACATTCAATGTGGAACTATATTGAGAATAGAATCGGTTTTCAAGTCAATCTGCGGAAGAATAAACAACTCTTCAAATTGGTGACCATAAAAGTATTATCCAAATGGAAAGTTTTCGTAACCAAATAACGAACAAGTCGGTTCTCAGGCCAGGTGACATTGACTTACCCAAATATGTAAGTATGGCTATAATAGCCGAAATCGATGTGAGAATAGAATTTCAAAATGATGCTCTTTGATTGATAATCCAACAACAGCCAACGGTGCATGACTTTCATTGCAATTGTTTTAATTGTTCTTATTTCGCTGTGGTCAGCGACTTAATTGTTTTGACTCTCTTGATTTGAATTGTTTTGTTTCGTTATACTTGAATTTCAAGAATCATTGCAATGGAGAATATTTTTAGTTTGGGAACAATACTGGAATGATTCAAAGCAAAAAACCACTGAAACTGCATGACGATTTGAAAATGTATCATAGTTTGTGTGCGCAAATAAACCATGGCAATTACTCGGTTCCATTAAATCAGTTCAAAAAACACACAGGTAACACACAGTGTGGCTAGTAGCAACAACTCAATTTCAGCGGTGTGTTGTTTACGAAGTAAATTACTTTGCGACCACGACCACGACAACGACGACGACGGCAATAATAACAATAACAATAACAGTGGCAACAAAAAGCCACAACCAAGAACAACGACTGGAAGAGAAAAAAAAGTATACAACTTATAGTATATGTACATGGAAAGAACCGAGAATGCGTTAAGTAGACAGGGAAAGAAAACAGTACAGAACAGTATAGTGTAACGAGTGGAAAAAACACAAAATTCAGTTCAACTTGTATTTAATTCGTAGCGAAGCTGTTGTTGTTTCTATTTCGATTTTTTCTTCCATTTTTCCATATATTTTTGCGGCTCTAGACGTCGTTGTTTTTTATTTATATTTCTCATATATGTACATCAAGCAGCAGCACTTTGCATAATATACACTATGAACGGAACAAACATGCGATTCACGATGAAGTGCTTTATGAAGCGAAAGAGCGCGCGCGCTCATGCCATACACGCGATTTCAATGGTACAATCGAAAGTCAGCAGTATATTGTTTACTATACATATATCCATACACACATTCACATATGACGTTAAGCACTGGAGCCACATACTAAATAATGCACAGCAACCGATCCAACGATTGTGTGTATTGTTGTGCGGTCGAGTTTGAGTGTGATTTTTGTGTCTCTTTTTCGGTGTTGAAAACACTTGGTTCGTTACGAATTCGATCAGTTCTACACCATCAATCGAGTGAATGACACTCTCGCTCGAGAGACAAAATACTACGTTGTGTGTTGACCGAGCGCGCGATTGCTGCTGCATTGATTTTTTCGTGCATAATTTTTGATGTAATTTTCTGAATCTTTTTTTTTTCAAATCCAACTGGATTAACTAGTTATTTGCAGTTTCGGCAATTGGTTTCTATTGTTATTGAACACTTCCCCTTTGAGCTGTGAATTAGTGGCAATAGAAATTTCATTTCATTTTGTTTTTTTTTTTCGTATCAAAAATCACCAAACATTTTTAAATAACAATGCAAAACAGCGTCGGCGATGAATTGAACTTAAATTTGTCCTTACCTTGTACTGATTTTCTCTTTTCTTTCTGGTTTATTTTCTCCATACAGAATTACATCACATGAACCACTTCTCGGAGGCTTTTGTATCGAGTGTTAACAGCAGAAGAAAAAAAAAACTGTACACAAAATCAGTGGAAGGTGCATCAGTGAAGTCTGAAAAGTCACACGTGTCGGTGTGTTTTGTAATAATTTTCTGAGTGGAAATTCGCGCTGAACATTAAAAAAAAATTCGGTCACAACTTATGTCAAAATCTTGAAGAGGACGCACATCGTTGAGTACACAACAATTATCGAAATCATCGATAAATAAAAGAGATAAAGCGATCAGAGTTGAGTAGAGGCGAGCAAGAGACAGAGAAATAAAAAAATTAGTCAAAAATGCTGAAGTCAGTGAAAAATAAGCGACGTGAGTAGCGTTTTACCACTTTCTCTTATCTTGCACACATAACACAAATCGAATTAACATATTCCGCCGAAAAGCAATGGACCACTTGAACCAAAAAAAAAGAGCGATATGACGAAACTCACTAACATACGATAACCAGCAACAACCCGATAAGCGTTTCTAAAGAAAAATTCTTTGTGAAGTGCGCCTTTTGTATAACCTTAACGACATTATGATTTACATTCATCTTCCTATCCGACTTGACTTGAAAGCGTGATATTAATTTAATGAAAAGTCAACAAGCCTAAAATATACGCAAACAAATCGAACAAGAAAATGAGACATTCAAATAATTGAGTAAAGTGCCTTGCTGAGATGATCAAAAAAAAGTATTCACAACAACAACAACAACGAAAAAAGCCAGTGGTCTCGCTGATTGATGAATCAGTGTTTTTTTTCCTTTCAAAATGTTGATACTATTTTCAATTAGAATTTGTAATATGAAGCGGATAGCCTACTTACCTAAAAAAAAATCAAATGACACTCACAATAAACCGCATTTTATGGATTTAATGTGAAGTTGAAATATCAATGCAAACATTAACCAAAAACATACATAGTTCAACGCAGTGGTAGCAGCAAGAAAAAAGTGGAAACGACTAATGAAAACCACTTCAAGAGAACTTAGCATGAATTAAATAGAAGAGAAAAAAAAATACACCGTAAAGTTATGCAATGAAGCACAAACAACAACAAAAAAATCGATAATTATTTTCATTTGATGGTTTTGGTGTGTATTGCGAGTGTTTCATAAACATTCTCAAGCGGCCACCTGTTACAACTTCCACCATAATAAATTGGCTGGGTTGCGAGACTTCTCTCCGGATATAAATTCAAATAAACGCATATGTATATCATAATCGCACGAACAGTATTGAAATCGCCACAAGTGAACGTTACTCCGTGTATATGCATGATATCCAAGAGAATATTCGAGTTCCATTGCATTCGAGTTCATTCTAAACCACTTTTCCACTTGTGTGTCAGGTGATTTCGTTTGTATTCATATTCGCTTCTTTGCTGCAACGACTTACGTGTACATTAAATGCTTCTGACCGTCGACCTTATTGCGTTGAATGAAGCGACCGTGCAAAAAGAATGCAGTCTTTATGCTCATCGTCGCTGAAAAAACAAAAACAAAACAAAAACGATTTCGATTGCAAAATTATGGGAAAAATTATGAAACTCAACGTTAATTGATTTACTACTGCGCCTATGGAGATTCCTTCGAAAGAGATCTGCAATGAAACTTGACTCTTTTTTGTTCACGAAAAATAAAAAGTCTGATAAATAATGTAATGACGGTGAGATAAGACCCTGACAGTCGGTGCAATTTGCCCTTCAATTCAAAACAAGTAATTTCAATTCTAAATCTCAATTCTGGCGGCGTTTTTTCTTCGATTTTCGTTCACGCTCTTCGCGAACGTAATGACAAATCTAACCACTGGTTGTATTGACTCTAGCTTTTGTATTCTTTTCAAACAAGTAGCAAACAGCGCCGCTGTCGCGATAATTACAGAAAAAAAAATAAAACTGAATAGGTCCCATTAAATTATGAGTGTGTTTATGTGTGTTCTGATTAAATAATTAATTTCAAGAACAGATTTAATTGTGAACTACAATTTATTTTTTTTCGTTCGATCGATCGATCGATCGTTCATTCAATCGTCTCGAATTCATCGATATATATATTTTTAAATTTCGTTTGCGTGATCATTTCAGGACTATGGCTTGGTATTCGTTCGGCTCGGGCTCATACGGATAAAGTAAACATCATGTTTTTTCATGGGTAAGTCAATGATCTCGATTGAGATAAATAAGTCGAACCGAAAATAAGTTTTCTTTTCTCCACATGAATTTTCTTTAATTTCTTCGTGTCCTTCTATATTTTCACAGTAAAACTTTTGACGAGCACACCTCATATCCAATGCATGAATCTCATAATATAATAACGGACCCAAAATTTGATCACAATAAAAAGACCGTTTTGTATATTCATGGTTATGTTGAGGCACCATCACACCAAAGCATACATGTGATAGTCGATGCGTACTTAACACGTGATGATTACAATTGTCTAGTGTTGGACTGGTCAGAGTTGGCCGATGGCAACTTTTTCGTTGATGCAGTGCCAAATATTAAGCAGGTTTGTGAGCGGGAAATTGATCAACCAGATTGCCATTGATTCTAAATGGAAACTAATGTGAACTCATCTGTTTTCTTTGAAACATTGTAGTTAGGTCCAAAGATGGCTGAAGTAATATTGGATTGGTTTGATGAAGGTTTAAATGTAGACAATTTTAATATCGTGGGTCATTCGCTTGGAGGACAGATGTCAGGCGTTATCGGACGTAGTGTCACGAAAAAGTCACGAGGCGAGACACAAATAGCTCGTATATCAGCGCTTGATCCAGCATTCCCAACATTTTACCCATCGCTAGGCACACCGGCTGTGAATAAAAATGATGCAAAATTCGTGGATATCATTCATACGGACGGTAGGCATCGCATGTCATAGTTCAAAACATTGTTTCCAGTCAATACTCTTACGATTTTCTCCGAATTTTCTAGCATGGTTATATGGCATACCCATTGCTACTGGGCACGTCGATTTCTGGCCAAATAGTGGAAAAACGCTTCAACCGGGTTGCCCGAGACGTGGAATGCTTTTGACACTGTCCGATCAGGGTAAGGCAGCTATGTACAGTGAGTGAAATTTTATTAATCTACAGAAATTCTATCAACCATTTCATTTCAACTATACTTCTCCAAAGTACCTCCATTCGTCTACTTCTTCATACCAAGCTAATTCTACTAAAAAAAAATGTTGATTGCCAGGTTGAGATGAAAGATCTGTAGATTAATAAATTAACACTCACAGTGTATTCATTTGAAACTTGGGCCCGATGAGATCATTTAATGAATGACATTGTTGTTTTCGTCTTCGTCACAGATTTATGTAGTCATCGGCGATCATGGTGGTTCTGGGCGGAAAGTGTGGCTTCACCCGAGAAATCCGCTTTCCATGCCGCCAATGCAAAGAACTGGGACGATTTCAAAAAAGGCCGCATTGACGAATCCAGCATTGTAAATATGGGCATTGATTGTCCGCCAAGGTAAAAAAAAACCACGTACACCTAATTGAAATTCGCAATTCACACAAAAATTTGCTCATTTTTAATTTCAATTTCAATTCAATTTCAGCGCACGTGGTGACTACTATTTACAAACAAATGGCTTGATACCATTTTCAAAGGGTATCGATGGACTGCGCTACGAAAAAGCCAAATACGATCCAAATGCCTTGTTTATGGGACAAAAAACGATTCGAACCAAATGATAGCCTTTTAACGAAATGCAACAAGACCGTCTCTTTTGCTGCTGATAACTTCATATCATCGTACGCATGGGAATGATATTAACTTTTCACAAACGTAATGAACGGCAATTGGAATTGATTGGAAATGCTTACATATTCATGTACAGAATGATTTGAGTTCACTAATTTATATAATCACATCGATCACAAAAAAAACAACAACAAAACAAACAAATCGTCATGTTACTCTTTTTATTGATTTACAAGTACATTTTCTCTCTTGTTTTTTTTTTTGATAGAACAGAAAAATCAACAACTCTTAGTTCGTTTTATACACACAATTTACATTTGATCATAAGTGATCTGTTACTTTTTTCATATTGTTAATAAAAGTTTAATACATATATTTAAAAGGAAATGAATGTAGTTTTTTATTGCATTTAAGTGGTTTCATCATTCGAGCAATTGCAAAGGTCATCGTGACTTAAGCACAAAATTGATTTGTGATCACTGTCTTTCCCTTTGGAATTTCGATAAATCAAAATGTTCAAGTGAGAGAATTCCATGTTCGGGAAATTGACTGCATCATACATACTACTGTCTGATTATTTCAATTGTATTCTAATAAATTCCAATTATCGTCTTGTGCCGGCATCACGCACACAAACACTTATTGTTGATGAGTTGCCATTAAAAATATTTTTTTTATATTCAATCGCATCAATTTGTGACGGCAGACGTTGTTGTTTTGTTTCACAAGTGTCTTTGATCTAGTTAAATGAACACCGAATTTTAGCCAATTTATATATGAATTAAATGAGCATTCATTGGTCCATGACAGCAAATAAAACGACCGATATAGTTGAGAATCCACAGAGGAAAATTATCGTGTGATGACCTAGAGATTTGAAACAATAACAAAATGAGCAGAGATAAAAAGAAAAATTCGCATAAACATTTGGAATTCATAAAAATATCAAGTGTAATATCAAAAATGGGTATTGTATATCATTAATGACCTTCCTTCCCTTTCATGTATATATATGCCCAATCGAGTAAGCCGTTTACTTCGTGCTTTCCGCAAACAATTCAAATTATTTGCATTCAAACTTTTTCTCGAAATTATTCCTTAATCAATCGGATAGAGAGAAAGAGAGAGAGAGAGAGAGAGAGAGAGAGAGAGAGAGAGAGAGAGAGAGAAATAATAATCTCAGATACAAAACAATGATCTCAGTACGAATAAAACATGCACCTCAACAAATGAACAAACAAAATGAATGGAAAACTCGACAGTCGTCAGTCCCCGCTAAAACTTATTCAAGACAACAATAAAAACTTGATTTTGGACAATTATTTCTATTTAGTTATTCCAACTATTTTGTTGAACGTCAAATGACTGTTTGGCCGAAAATGTTGGTCATTCGTCTGTTTCCACTTGTACTGGGTAAAAACCGTGCAAAAACCAATTTTATCTTAGAATCTTAATTGTTGTAATAAAGCAGTCATTTTGTTTGTGTTATTCAATTGAAGTTGCGGTTTGTTTTGTTGGCCATTGCGCTACGAGATTGCTTTCTGACCAAACAAAATTTTATTTTTTTTTATGGGCCCACTTATTTCGATCGTCGCATCTACAACTACAACGCGCTTGATGAGATTCTTCAGCATGAAAAATACGATGCGAACAAAACGACAGTTCTATACATACATGGCTATCTTGAGTCACCCGAAAGCGACAGCGTACGCCTAATTGTCAATGCATATCATACACGCAACGAGCACAATTTAATCGTTCTCGATTGGGCCGAGGCAGCATACGGCGACTACTTCATAAATGCTGTACCAAATTCCATAACGGTATCAAGTGCTGTGATTTCGATCAAAGTTTCGGTTTGACTTTTTTTCCTTATCGGTCGTACAATTATATCATTTAAGCTTGGGAACATTCTATCAACGGTCGTGCTCAGCACATTCAAAAAAGGATTGGACAGTGAGAAATTCCATGTGGTGGCACATTCGCTTGGTGCACAGCTCGCAGGAGTTATGGGACGGAAAATCATATCGAAGTCAAATCAATCACAAAAATTAAAAAGGTTCAAAATGCGCGAATCGTAGATTTTTGCAGCGACTGAAAATAATATTTGTTTCCAGAGTAACCGGCCTTGATAGTGCCAATCCACCATTTTTCCCAGCTCTCTTATTGAATCATCTAAGCCATTCAGATGCCGAATATGTAGATATCATTCATACGGATGCCGGACTGTACGGCCAACCAATCGCAACGGGAACCATTGACTTTTGGCCCAACGGCGGAACAACTCTACAGCCAGGTTGCCCTTTTCGACTCGGGATCCCTCTCAGCGTTAATGGTTGAACGAATTAAAATAACGATAATAATTACACAATCTCAATTAAGTCACCTGGCTCAATGCTAATTTATCTATTTTTAGATTTATGCAGTCATCAGAGATCAGTTAAATACTTTGCAGAGAGCGTTGCAACATCGAAAGGAACAACATTTCAGGCAGTGTCGGCAAAAAGCTGGTCACGTTTCAAAGTTGGCGATACAAATACATCAAATGTTGTGAACATGGGAATTGACTGTTCTACCAGGTAAATCGAAGAAGAACAAAAACTCTCAACTACTCGTAGTTTCAAGTATTTATTTTATTATTTTAGCACATTTGGAGACTACTACTTACAAACCAATGGTGAACCACCTTTTTCCCGCGGCGCAAACGGTCTCCGATATTTGAATTGACACCAAATGTTCAACTTTCAAAGTTCTAAATAAATGTTTTCGTGTGCATATAAACCAATTGATTAGAAAATAATCAGAAATGTAGATGAATGAGTTTATATTCATTTTTCAAAGAATATCGGCGTTTAAAACAAACAACAACTCTACGTTCAATAAAAATAATTCCATATTAGGAATTCGATAACCACGTTGTTCACTCACGAAGCTATAGTCAAACTAAATTGATTCAGTTTAAAATTTTCGTAAAGTACAAGCTCCGACAATTGTTCGACACTTCGCATATGAAATCCGTTAGATGGCGCACACCATTGTCGACCAAATTTGAGCATTTTTTTGGCAAATTTTCTCTCAATTTAAAGAGGAATGTCTAAAAACAATAGGACTAACTAACATCTACGTTGAATATATTGTCTTGTAATTATTTCAAAACTAACCTTTCTTTTTCAACATCAGCACTCTTCATCAAGCATTGCAGATGCTTAGAGGCAAGTTCGAATTTTGTCTTATAAATTTGGTTTTAAAAAGGCCATAAAAATCTTTATGCAAAGTATAATGTAATAAAAATGCGTGTAGATTTCATCATGGTTCCATATTTTATTTTCAATTTTTCTGATACAATTGAACTGACTTGAATTTGACTCAAATTTAAATCCTTCTGCCTCGTTTTACAAGTTGGAAACAGTTTTGTCAGTGAATTCGTGATGATTCCATCGTTTGCCGAGAAAAAAATTGACGATTAATGGATGAATTGAAATTTGCTTGAGAATTTCTTTCGTTCCATTTCAAACCATATTTCTCTCAATAAAACCGATTCATGTTTACAATTTTTTTTCCAAGAAGATTTTAATTTTATAATTTCACAAGACTTCAATTCTTACTGTACGGTGTTGGTATATTGTTACAAATGCAACATGTTCATGGGAAATGAATGTTCTTAAATGCGTTTATTTTACTTTGATAACTTCATTTAAATTAATTTTGCGTACGTTTATTTTTCACATTTGACTTCAAAATTAAAAATATTTTTTTTTCTTTATTTCAACCGAAATAAGTAAATGCTAGCCATAAGTTATTACAAAAATTCAGTTGAAATGAATTTTCATAGATAGAAAATTGATTGAAATGTCACTTGTCATCGAAATTCGAAGATCCGATTTTGATCGTGCTTCGGTGTATTTTGAGTGAAAATAGATCACGGTAAAATCAAAACTATTACTATTTACAACAAAATTAATTCAACATTTTAACGTATAGATTTGTTTTATAACGTAATACCCAAATAAATTTGAACGTTGGGTTATATGTTTCACAAATAAAAGTGATGCGAGCACAATTTTCATGCAGTTTTTAAAAACAATTGTCTTCTTGATGGCGGGGGGGGGGGCGAATTGTGTTAGAAAATCGATTTCACGTGTATGTTTGTGTGCAATTTGAGTATTAAATGTATTACGAATTACAGTACAACAAGGACAATGTGTTACTCACGTTGGGATGACACATATACAAGAAAGATGTCTATTGCACACTTTTCTTACAGCAAGAAGAATATCGATTACGATTATCGATTTTCGATTGGAAATCGTTTTGTATATTTATTTGAGCAGGCCAAACGCAGTCAAATGAACATGTTTACAATTACATCGAATGTTCAATTCAATGTTTGATTACGGACATAATAATAAATCGTTGCTATGTTGCTGAATGCGCAATTTCATGATTTCGTTTAATGCATGTATTATGGTGAGGGTAGCCGACGGGATAATGACATCATAAGAAAGTTAAAAATGTTCGTTTTCTGTGTTTAAATATTTGGCAGAAAACATTGTCGGTGTAGTCGAAAAAAAAACCCAGTGACATCGGTTCGGTTGTGTTAAATTACGTGTGTTTTTGTTTAGCCATTTAGTATAAAGATAAGGATTTAACCATAAACTACACTAAATTATTTATATCTCTACAATAAAATAGCATAGCAATGTCAATATCGTATTCAATTATGAACTATGATTTATGATGCTTTATGTTTTTGTTTGCATTTTACCTCTCATACATGTTATTATGAATTGTTCTAAATCTGTCCCACTATTCTGTTGACTTATTTGGCTAAGCTTCATTTGTTCTATGGAATTTGGATCATTGATTAATATTTTCAGTAGATTCGAATTTCTGCGGATAAAAATTGGCTAAAAGTGGTTTGGTGTTTAATTCTCAGTCACATTTGCATCCTGTTAATTGTATTATGTGTGTGTGTGTGTGCAGAGTGCACGTCGATTCAGTTTATGACAACAAGTGATTAGCGATAGTTTATAGCATTTGCTTCGACCATTTCTATGAACTTGCAGCTGTGAATCACTCGTCCATCTTTCTTGAGAAAATGAGTTGTTTCGATGGAATATAAATCCGATTTCAAAGTTTCGACAGTAAATGATTTTAATCGATTGAACGTCCTATCGTCAGCTAAACTGGCCAATGTTGAACCAATGAAAAAGGCTATCGCAAAATGTTAATCAGCATACATTAAATGGGATTGTTATGAATAATGCCAGATGCTTCGCTTCAGCGCTTTGTCTATCAAGTGTGTGTGTGTGAGTGTGAGTAAATATCTTAGATTGAATTGGCACTACGTGGTTACATTCACTTGCAATGATGTGTTAATATTTGATATAAGTAGGACAGTGATTGTGATGTTAGGTAGATTTCGAGACAAAAAAAATCGCATAAATGTTTCATAAAGATTCGTTTTTGGTTTTTTTTTTTGGCAAAGGGATTTTATGCTAATAAATGACTTAATTCCAATTTACGTAACATGCATCGAAATTGGCTTCTTTTTTCCTCTTTTTTGTCATAAAAATTATCACGATTATACAAAAATTTGGAAAATAATTTAAAATGGGTCAAAAATTTTTAAGCGGTGTACATCCGCATTGTTGACTATAATTTTTGTTTGTTGGTTTGAAAAAAAAAATGAAACGATTTTGAAGCGATTTCTTTGTTGTTCTTTTTAAAAATGATCGATTTCAGTTTCGTTCCATTGTTTCGTTTGGCGCTATAGGATGTCGGTTTCATAAACTTGTTTGGTTGTGGTTGTATGGGCTGTTTGTTGATTTTTGTCGTTCTTCTGTGCCTCGGCGATGGTGACGTCAACGTTGAGATTCTTCATTGAACCGCTGACAGCCATCTGTAATCCCATCTTTTGTGGCAAATTAGATTCGCTGCCCGTCTTTTTCAATGGATCATTGCTTGGCACCGGTCCGCTTTTGCTGATCTGCTGCAATCGGGCATACTGTTCCTGCAATTGCTTTTGCTTTTTTAATAATTCTTGATGGCGAACTTCTAAAGCGGCTTGGCGCTCTTGTGAATTTGATGATTCGTTACCACTTGAATTTCCACCGTCGTTGTTGTTGCCATTGCCGTTGTTTTGCTCGTTATCACTGGCGATTGCCATATTATTTGCAACACATGGACTAGTCGGACTAGCTAATGGGCTGCGTGAGCTGCTTGTTCGTGGTGGTGGCGGTGGTGGTGCACGTTTGTTGATCACCTTTGAAATGAGCTCGGCATTGCGTTCGGGAACGGGCGGTTTGCCGGGTATCGAACGAAGTTTTTGCTGCGGTGGACTCGTATCCGTATCAGAACCACTGGGATATGAATGTAATCGACGTAAACTGGATGTATTATTGTTTGGCGGTGCTAGTTCGTTGCTTGAATAAATGGTTGCTTGTGATATTTGTGTTGTCACTGTGTTGTTTATTGGTTGATTTTGGGAGCTGTCATCGGTCGATGTGGAATCATCGGGTCGTGGCTGGAATGTAAATAAAAACCAACACGAGTTAGTACGAAAAAAAAAACAATTATTGCGAACCTTTTGACTACTCACCTCATTGATTCCGACCGATGGTTTTGAGAATGTTTGCAATTCATCTAGCAAAGCATCGAGTGCGTTTTCTGGAGCGATTCCTGCGCCGACAGGGAGCGACCCCATCCGTTGGATTGTGCTTGGCTATGAACAAATTAAATACCATAGTTAAATTTTATAAATTGAAATCAAATTATTTGATCACATTTAAAATTGAATCGGAATTATTGCAAATACAAATGTAATTCTCTTTTGTTTTCCATTGATTTTTTTTTTACTCAAATTACAAATATATTCGCTTTGTTTCAAAAGAAAAAAAAATTACGATTTGCTATTTTTAAAAAAGAAATGAAGAAAAAAGTACTCAAGTGTTGTGAGCATGCGCAGCATTCCATTCTAATCTATAAGATCTGGTGCTTAGAGTCTATTAAGCTATTGCAATCTGATTACAGTGCGTGGAGGATATTGCATGCAGTTTGCAACCAAATTGGTAAAAAAGTGTTTTGTCAGCAAATAAACAAAACCGTCAAGGCATGCCAAGAGATCATCTATGTCAGTAAGTGCAATTTGTTGAATGAGTCCAGCCAATTATTTTCAGAATGTTGGTCTCTCTTTGAATAACACAATAAAATGGAATAAAAGAAATCTCCCATAGTAAGGTCCAATCAAAATACGAATATGATTCTGATTTTTTTTTAAATTTGATTGTTTTTTGTATTTGATGTGGGAAGGTTCAAAACAAAATTTCCAGCTTAAATTTTCTAATGGGCTTAAACCAAGTGCGGAAACAAATTTGGGAGGGAAACGAGAACTGCAGCCAAAAATATAGTGCAATTAATTCATGTTTATATCACAGTTTGTTCATTATTTTTACCAAAATTCACAAGAAAAAATTCTCTACTGTTCTAGTCTTTTATTTTCTTGTCTCAAAAACGTGTTCTTGAGCCATATTTTAAACACACACCCATGTTGTTGTCAATTGTTCAAAGGTTTCTACACCTTATTTCCCAAATAAAAAACACTAACATCTATCAGTCGATATTGGCAGTGCAGTTGAGGTGCATTTGGCCAGAACATCGACATTAAACCTGCAGAAAAAAAAAGAGTCGTCAAGCAACCTAGATTGTCGAATTGTTCAAAACAGAAAAAAAAATAATCAAACTGGACAAAAAAGTTGATTAAGCCCATTTCCAATGTACCTTACTATAGGGGGTCGCTAAATGAATTGTTTTTGTTTTTTTTTGTTTGACGAAACGAACAAATAGAACATTAATTTTCAAATACACAATTTTTATTGATGAAAAACAAACTTCCAAACCGACAGAGAAAATAAAACCAAATCAACTGAATTCGTAAAATCGAATGGTAAAGAAAAATGTGTAATGAAAAACGGAAATTCACATTCATCGATCATCATCTAGTTGACACACATAAATTAGAGAGATAGAGCGAGCGAGACGCGTAATCATAAAACGAAACAACTTATTTCTCTATTTTTTTTATGGATGAAAAAATGAGAGAAAACAATAAAGAAGAACGAACGAACGAACGAAAACAGACAAAATCGTTAGCCGTTAACTGTTGCACCACACATTCAAAGAAAAAAAAATAACCTATGCATGAAATGAACAAGTCAAATATAGAATAAGATAAGTACGAATTGATTTGCGATTAAATTGTGGGAATGAAAAAGAATCGGGAATCGAAAAAGAAAAAACGGTAAATGATTAACTGTTTGTTGTTGTAGTTGGTTTTGAATGAGATTTACTTTTCTTTGTTTAACAAGAGTATCGTTCCAATTTTTGATTTGAGAGAGATTGTGTGTGTGTGTGTATGTGAAAGTGTGAGAAAGAGAAAAAAGAGATGGTTACAATCAGGAGCCAATTCATAAAATTAAAAGAGAAAAAAAAATTGTTGTCGTCGAATTTGTCATTTATTATTGTGTCATAATAATAATCAAACACCAAAACGAACCAATCAGTCGAACCAGGGAGAGGAATTTGGTTTTTTTGATTTTGGGGGCGGGGAAGGAGTGTGAACAAGAAACAAAAACAAACACAAGTATAAACAGAGAAGGATCATTTAGTCAAAAATGCTTTATCTGTTGAGTTAGTGCAATAGTACAATTTCCAACATGTTTGACCAAATGCCCAAAATATAAAATTCAAACACTTCATCGCACAGCCGTCTGGCAGAGCGTTTTTCCCGGTGATTATCCAAATAAATGAAGACGAAATGAAAACAATTTGAAGAAAAATATTTACCAAAGAAATGTGAAACGATTAGAATATATCAAAAACATTGACGATTCCATATTTGTCTCTAAACGAACAGATAGTTTTGAAATGAATTGAAAAAAAAAACAAAAAAAACAGTGTGAGCAATTATAACACCGTGTAACAAATTTCAACTTTTTCTTCTGCACATGAGAAATTCCGATTGCTTGTTTTAGAGGACCAAAAACCAAGCACTTTTGCATCATTAGTTTGTTCAAAACCACGTCTAGACTTTTTTTTATCGACACATATAAGACAAATTTCAGGCCAAAATGAGCAAATCACAAACATGAGCTTCGGTTTGACAGGTAAAAGCAAATAATTTCTAAATTTTCTGCCTTTCAACATCTAGTATGATCCTTTACAAACATTTTGGATACTTACATGACCAAATCGAGTGATGTTTTCACATATTTCTGGCCGCATATTTGGTTGGTTCGAATTCGACTCTGAAAGAATCGACTTTTGGCCAAAAATCCTTAAGTATAGGCTTTTCAGGGATGGTCTCTTGGCGCAAAGTTATTTTTTCTCGAAAATATGGGAAGTCTACCCAGACAAAAACTCTCAAAATTGACTTTTCGAGGTACCTCCCGAACAAAAGTTACGTTTTTCATGCATTTTGCTATGAAAATAACATTTTTTGTTCGGGAGGTACCCCAAAAATACACTATTTGGATGAGTTTCTTAGTAAAAAATTAATTTTTTCGAGAAATATTGGGAATCTTCCCACACAGAATCTCTTATAAATGATTTTTGGGGTACCTCCCGAACAAAAAATGATATTTTCATAGCAAAATGCATTAAAAACGTAACTTTTGTTCAGAAGGTACCTCGAAAAGTCAATTTTGAGAGATTTGGTCTGGGTAGACTCCCCATATTTTCGAGAAAAAATAACTTTGCGCTAAGATACTATCCCTAAAAAGCCTATATTTAAGGATTTTTGGCCAAAAGTCGATTCTTTCAGAGTTGAATTCGAACCAACCAAATATGCGGCCAGAAATATGTGAAAACATCACTCGATTTGGTCATGTAAGTACCCAAAATGTTTGTAAAGGATCATACTAGTTGTTCAAAGGCAGAAAAGGTAGAAATCATTTGCCTTTACCTGTCAAATCGATGCTTATGTTTGTGATTTGCTCATTTTGACCTGAAATTTGTCTTATATTGTCGATAAAAAAAATCTAGACGTGGTTTCGAACAAACTAATGATGCAAAAGTGCTTGGTTTTTGGTCCTCTAAAACAAGCAATCGGAATTTCTCATGTGCAGAAACATGTGTTGCACGGTGTAATCGAATTATTGTCTTGATTAATTCATTGTTGAACAAAAATTTCAAACACAGTGAAGACAAAACCGAAAAACAATGAAGTTTTGTTCGAATGGAAACAGAAACAGAAGAAACAATTTAACAAAAATTAATAGATAATTGATGTTATTGCCTTTTTTGCATGTGGTCGAACCGAAAATCGTTTTTTATTTTCGTTTTGTTTTGTTCGTTTTGTTTTGTTTGAAAGTAAGATATGCTTGCGTATGGTCTGTTTTGTAGTTTAATCATTTTGCAATTTCAAGAATTGGAAAAAAAATCGGAACATAGAAATTACTCGGTTATTGCCTCTCGGAAGTGTGAGCTCCATCGCCAGTTGAACTATACCATAAAAAATCAAGCGTACACACAGAAGAGAAAAGGAAAGAAAGAAAATTTCGTGTTGAGATAATATTTCTGGTTTTGGTTTTTTCTGTACACACAAAAAATGGTTTTTTTTTTTGTTAATAAATTGAACGATCGTAGATCATCTTTCCTATCACATCAAAATATTTCCTTCTTCTTCCGCTAGATGAAAAAAATTGAAACGAAAAACTCGGAACGCGCAAATGCAGAACATAAAAACCTTTTTTTTTAAACAGAATTGTTTTGTTCAAATCTTGAATTTGAATCCAAATAAAAATTATGAAAGAATATTTCAAAAACCCCTGAAGATCATTGGAAATGCTAGTTAAGTCCGAATTGCCATGAAATTTCTTTTTTTCATGCAAAATTTGCCTATATTTTCCGAACTTCAGTCATGTGCCATGTCCAATAAGTCTGTTTATTATGCTAAGTTTCAAATTATGAAAGAGTGAATCAAAAGAATCAATTTGTTCATTATCCGTATTTTGATATAGCTTCTCTAAAAATGACAGAAATAGAATAATTATTTTTTTTGGTCGATAGTTAAACATATTGATTTGTTATTAAAAAAAAAAGATCAAGTTGATCTTTTGGTTCGTCATGTGAACCATTGAAACATCAAATTCAACGTCATTTCTGAGCTTTTGTTGTTGTTTGATTCATTTATAGAGATTAGCATGCATTTTGAACGGAATGATTTCATCGAAACAGAAAAATAAACGAATCAATTGGATTTCATTTGATTTGAAATGTCAATACTTTCGCAAGTGGATAAAATGTTTGGAACTGGTGACCTTCCGAATGAAAAAAAAAGTCCTGATAACACGGGATTTCTTCCATCGATCCATTTACGAACGTATTTCAATTGGTCATTCCATATTTTCGATCAATCAACACTTTATCTCGTTTACCTAATTCAATGTAAGTTTCAAATAATTGGTCAAAACCATTGAGATTTAAAGACGAAAACAAAAATTTAGAAAGAAAAATCGATGATCTCAAAATTGCAAATATACAAACTAAAATGTATATCTCACAAACGATCTAGTACAACGCAATTTCCGCTGTTAACACAACTTTAAAAGCATATCGGCTGATTTCGTACTAGATCAATTGTTGTGAAAACATCTCTCTCACATTTGCCGCTAATCGTTGCCAATCAGAAACAAATCCACACGAAACCAAACTGAATCAGTCGCATTGCATGAACAATGGATAGACTACAAATGTTCCGAAACTGATTCTATGTGGTTTCATGACCTAGGATAAAAGTAAACATCTCAAAGATAAGCTACATATTCGATTTCACTATGTTAATTTAGTTTATTAGTTCAATTTTGTACGGAAATCAATGCCAATATTAAGTATCAAATGTCAATATGTTATGATTTGAACAAAACGAAAACAAATTTATTCCATGATGGACTAATTTTGGTAGAAGATAATGATAAATTTGAAACGGTTACTTTATTCCAATCTAAAATGAAAATCGAATCCAACGCAAACCGAAATTATAAAATAAGAAGCAACAACAAGTTATAGTTTAAGGGAAAGCGTTGTTTGTTCTGGTTTCATATGCTCATTTGAACTTGGGTTTTGTTTCATTTTTTTCACGATACCATCCATGGTGTAAGAGTGTGTACCAAGTATTGAGTTTTAGTGCGTGTAATATCCCCAATCTAAATATTCAATATGCAATTCCCCATTTTCTGATCTATATGATCCAAAGTACAAATTAACACACATTTTTTGGCATTCTGGGTCAATAGATTTCATTATCAGAAAGTAATTTTTGTTCAATTTTCAGCACATGAATTGGTGCCGCAAAGTCATTATTATAATTTACTCAAATTCTCAACGAGAGAGCTACTTATTGACTCTACAATTTTTGAATCGCCAACGATTCAAATGCTTGATTCGGTCATCCTAATACTACGAACAAATATTAGGTGTCATTATGAATAATTGCTCGAAAATGTTCTAATTTGAATTCAAGATCTGTTCATTGGCAGTGAATAATTTATTTTAGCGATTGTTACGATTTTGGGAATCGGCATAAAGTCATTTTAAATTCCAATGTGATTGTTCCATGGGGTAAAATTGAAAATTGTGGTTATATTGATCCAATTGAAGGGAAGTTCAATTGTGTTCAAATGTTGAGTGTGTTTTGTATTTACAAATTTGCTTCAATGGGGAGGCTGAAGGATTTATTTGTATACTTGGTCACACTTTGGTTATTTTGACATTATTTCTACTGTAAGTTACATACAAAGCTGTTTTTGAAAAGCCAATGAAGAGTTGAAATGAAGCTCAGGGAAGCTATAATTACTTGTTGTGTTTGGATGGTATTTATGTGAGGTGTGTGTTAGTGTATATGTGTGTGAGAGAAAACCAAGTCAAACGTGAAAAGAACGAATACTCAAATCGAAACCAAAAATGATTCAACAGAATTCTGTTGATCACATAAACTAAACTAAGGAAAACTACAACAAGCTACAAAGTTTCTCGGTCGATACAATATTTTATGCTTATGAAATATGTTTCATTTTGCTCCAATAATTTAGTAATGAATTCGTTAACTTCTGTTTGTTTACGGTTTTCATGAATCTCATACAAGAGTGAGGGTTGGCAAAACGAAAACAAAGACACATCAATCTCACCTTATTTGTTGGTTGATGGTCAACCGATCGTGGCAATTCGTCGATTCCTGGCTCAGGACCCGTTCCGGGTAAACGTTGCTCTTGGACACTAGCCAATCTGCGATAGAAGACATGTTAGGACAAATTGTTCATATTACCGTATGCTTTTAATGGTTTGTTCTACCTTTTAAGCGTAACCAAAGTGCCGGTCAATTTTTTGCATCGTCGCAATGCTGACTCCAAGCGATCGGGTTCATCCGTAAGGAATTTTTCTTCTCGGACCACTTTCTCCATTTCCGTTGATAGAACATTTCGTAGCGCATTCTGTAGCATCGGAAATCGCATCTTCAATTCAGCCACCGTTTTGCTACTCAAAAAGCAGTCGAATGAATTTCACTTCTATCGCAAAGAAAGAATTTTATGGTATTACCTTGCTCGACTGAGCACCAATGCCATGTCCTCCACTGCAGACATATTGACGCGCGTACGTCGATTGATCACCTCACCGCGCAATATTTCCACCGATGATTCCAAATCACCGAGATCATTTTCTAAGCGTAACACCTCTTGCTTGTACAATTCTTCTTCTCTCGTTAAGCGCATCTTATCGTGGTCATTTTGCCCACTAAATATTCCACAATTGGCTATCAATGTAGCCCGAATTCCCATGAATGCATCTTTGATATCCTCTCGCACGGCTATTGCCTGCGCTTGCGATAATCGACGCAGCGTTCGCACTTCGATACGTAAATCTTTTGCCTTCTTCTGCAAGCCACGCAAATGATTATAAACTTCGGGTGCAAGAGCTAAATCGGGCCGATAAGTTACATGTGTTGCTGTTAATGCCATCGGTTTTGGCGGTGGTGCCGGTTTCAAACGATCACGTTCTGCAAACAAACGATAACAAAAGTAAATGGCATTTATTTTAAATGTTTCCATTGATAGTGGCAAGCAGTGAATATAGCTCAAGCATCGACAAACATTGATTTTAACACGTAAAAATGCAATAAAGATACTTTTCATCTGACTACGGCTGTCGACACACAGCGCCCCTCATCACAACATTTTTTGTTTTGTTCGAAAAAAAATGAAAATAAATTAGCAACTGGAATTGGCAACATGTTAAGGTCTTTTTTCAGCAACAACAATTTATTTACCTTGAGAAGATGTTCTAGGCAAAGTTGACGATTTGATAGCCGGTTTTGGTGGTTTGGAATCGGCTAAATAGCGCGTGTATGTGTTTGTGTGTTTTTGTGATTAGGCGATTGTTTTTTTGTTTGTTTTTTTTTGTTTGCATTTGCAAAAGAAAGCAGCAAAAGAAAGGAACATATTTTACAATTAGACTTAAATTTTGTGTGTACTTTTGAGTTGGGATTTTATTCAAATACAAAATATATAGGCTATTTTCAGCTTTATCATTTTATGTGTTTGTGTAAAATATTGGGATAATGTGTGGAAACCGTGTGTGATTGTGTGAATGTTGTATGTGAGTCAAAAATGGTGAGACAAAAATAAAAAGGCACGAAGGTTCGGTATGTACAAATGTTGAGAATGAGGTGGTTTTGTAAATAAATTACATCTTTGAATGGGACGGGCTTTGATTCAAGCTTGCTTCGATTAGTATAGGCGAAATATTCAATATTTTAAAATTCGGAATTTTTGCATTTTTCTGCAATTTTTTCGTCTTTCAAATTGAAACTGCACAAAGTTAGATTCAAAAAAGAAAATCAAACTCGAAGTTAATAAAAGGAAGCGGAAAAATAAAGTCAAATATCGCAAAAACCCATTCAAAAGTAATTTTTTTTCTTCTCGGTTTTAAATAATAAACTCAAAATAAAAATAGACCACTTACAATTTTTATCTAATAATTGGTTTTTTATTAAATCAAATGGCTTTTAAAAATTAAACTATTTAAAAAAAATTACTTCGAATAAAAAGGTTTGTTTTTTTTCGTATAATTTATTCATGCTCCAACTCCAAATTGGCACTTAAATGGTAATTTACATAATTTATGATAAATTAGAAAATGAAAGAAAAAACAAAAGGAACTAAAACTTAAAGTTTTAACGGTTTTTTTCTGTAAACTTAATTACATGCATTAAGAATATATTTGCCAAAGTTTATTCGCTGAAAATTAAAGCAAAAAAAAATAAAATATGATTACGAAAAATTCAAATGAAAATACTGAAAATGAATTTACATATTTCATGCGTTAAAATTAAATTAAAATTGATGTTACAGTTGTTGTTTTATTTTTCTTCTAAGATTTGATTTTTTTTTATTAAAAAACCAAAAAATCATATTTTTTTTCCTATGAAACTGACAAATATTTCCTTCCGAATGTATTGGAAAGTTTTTATAAAAATATTTAAGTCGATTTAAGTTATGCTACCCAAATATGTAGTTCTTTGCATGGGTAATGTAGGTCGTGTATCGTATTGTAAGCAAAAGAAGCATTAGATTCATTGCTCCCAACAATTTCACTTATTATGACATAAAATAATTATGAATCTTCGAAATGCAAAAGCTAACTCAAGTTTTACGAAAATAATAATAATAGTTTAAATGATCGAAATTCGGAAATGTGGCTACGGAACAAAATAAAACGTACGCAAGAAAAACAATGAAATCGGCTTTGTTTTTACAAATTATTTACATATCTGAATACGGACTGGGTAAGGAAATTTGAATTGTACGTGGTTAAGTCTATATAGAACACAGATAATACGATAAAAAAATGACTAAATTGACAAACATTGGTGTGAAAGTGTAATTATACGGATGTTATTCGTAAGGACATTGATTTACCGTGATGTTGTGGACTGTGTGATTTGGGCAGGCCTTGGATATCATCGCTAAATGATACGGATTTCTCGAATGACACCGATTTATCTGAAATTATTGAACGAATTGTATTTTAATTGATTCTGTCGAAGAACGGCATTCTCAGAAGGCCAAAATGTAGTCAAAATGCGAAATTCATGGGGAGAAAAACTTGAGACGAAAGCATAAAACGAAATGAAACCAAAAATCGCAAAAAGAATGTTAAATGAATTTTGTGTGTTAAAACTAAGACAAAACATTAGTAATTATTGATTAGAATAAAAAACACAATCATGCAATCAAGTCTCCTTGAAATCTATGTAAAACTTAATAAAAATGGAATACAAAAGTAAATATTTGGCAAGCATTATTGTATTTTCAATAAAGAAATGATTCAGTAAATAAATTGAACAAATAATTCATTGAAAACTGTGAATTGGATAAAATATGCGCGTGGTCAAGCATTAACTTTATTTCATTAAAGAATTATTGTCACACAGAAGGGCAAAAATACTGAAAACATGCAATCGAAATAGAGAACAGCATCCATATTTAATACGGTATTGGCAGTTGAAGCACATGCAAAATAAACCATTTGTTACACAATTGAATTGTGCATCTCGAAATTCAGTAGAGTTTTATTTCGGTATCAGAGATGTCAAAAGCAAGACATTGGAAATGAAAAATTTGCATTCAAAACGTTGAACAACAGAAGACAGAATTTATATTAAAAAAAAACACCAGAGTAAACAAGAGAAGAAAACTGGTCATATCAAAAGCGATCATGCCGTTCGCTATGAACGAAATAGGCTAGGCAAACTCAAGTAGATGTTGGAACGGAAACTTACGACATGACGATTTGCCGAGCTTTGGTGGTTTCTCTCGAACATAAATATCATCACTGATTCCGTTCGCTATTCAATGAGTCAAATTTGAAATGGAAAATTTGTTCCTTAGAAAATCTTCGTCTTCGAAATACACAAATGAATTTATTTCGATTCGATTAATGGATTTACCTTGGATTGAGGTTGAGCTACCACTCGAATGTCTGTCCATGTCTTCTATCAGTTATTCGATTCGAAGGGCGTTCATATTATCGATAAAGTAAATAGACAATGGAATGGAAAATTGGGATAAACATTACGGTATGAAATCAATTGGATTTTAATGATAATGGCTCTTCCATTAGCAAACCAAAAGCAAAAACATACACGAACTGTTCGCCCCATAAGGTGGGCCGAAGTAAGAAGGATTGACGTGTTATATTTAGATTCATTAAAATTTTCATTATTGAGCTGAGTTCATGGTTGAATCAATATCATAGCATTTTTATTTGCCCTACAAATTTTTCATTCAATACTAGCAATTAAGTCCTATCTACATGAATTTTATTTTCTCTAGCAGGAACCCACAGGGGGCGTGTGAAAATCAATTACTTGAGATAAATTTTTCGCAGTAGCAAAAACATGATAATCTACACCGAATTCGTTTGGAAAGACGATATTAAGCAACGAAATCCAACAAAATCCTACACAGTGATCGAATGAATGGGGGATTAAGGTAGGTGAACATCGAAAATGGATTGTATAGCTGACTAATTAGATTGAGACTTAAGGATTTATTATTATCATCGACCCAAACAGATACACGTGAATGCTAACTACGTTTAATGCACTTTCTGGCGAAAGTAGAACGAGATATCATCATCATCATCATCGCATCGCGATAGAGGTTGCACGCGTATGTAACCTCCCACGATACTGCGAACTATTTACATATTTCACGGTGACAGAAAGGGCAGCTTCAGGGCAAAAAGTTAGTCTAACTCAAGCGAGACTTTCGTGAGTTTTTTTTTATATACAGATGCGCTCGAAGCGCCATCTCAATAATCCCAGGCAAAGCAAGTGTCAGCAGATGTTGAACCAACAATTTAATTGAAAATATTGACGCAACGAACAGATAATTGTTCTTCGTTATTTATTGATTTCAGAACAAAGTATCAAAGAAAACTGAAATAACATTGACATCTTTTTATAACATTCACTTAGATAATCAACACTCCCAATTTCGAATTAAAACCAATTCCACAAATTCTCATGTTTGTTCTACTGTCTTTCACTCATATTCACTGTATTTCATCTTGAGTATAGTTTAGATTTTTAACTGGCAACCAAAAGTGCAAAAAGAACGCTTTAAAAAAGAAAACATTTTAAACAATTTTTGAATTGCATTCAGCTGTGTTTGAAATGTCAAACTGTCGAGCGCTTCAAGCGATTTGTTCTGTACGTTCTAGACGTGGAGAATTTGTGGATACACACACAAAAAATTATAATTAATTTATGTGACATTTCACGCCATTTTATTTAGAAACATCAACTTTTTTTTGGAAGCCATCTATATATATATATGTTTCAGCCCGAAGGAATTGAGATGGCGCTTGTGTATGACACGAGCCACTCGAATACACAGGAATACATACAGCGCAAGCCAGACGTGGTCTAACTTCATTCTCTCTGCGGAACACCAAGTGATGGGAATGCTCCGTTGTTGGAGATAAAAGTTTCAGGCCAAATAATAATCTACCCATTTTACATAACCAATACTTGTGGAAACTTTTGTAAATGTTCATCACTTTTATCGCTTTCTATGGGTTAAGTTTAAATTTGCATACAGCGAAATCGATTCGAAAAAATATGACGCTGCTCTGAACTTGACAAAAATAATATCAAAATATAAACAAACTCGAAAACTGTCAAGTACACTCTTTTAGATAGAATCTATGCGATTTAACATCAATGCTTCGTCAGGATACAGAATTGTTGATGAAATAAAAAAAACTCTGGGTACAATGTTGACGCTTAGGAAAAGCAAAAAAAATTTTTCAACAAATATATGTTCACTTGGTATACCAGGAAAATACTTCTTGAATAAAATTAATTTCAGTTGAGTTGAGCACGAGCTCAACATATTTCAAATCAAAGAGTTAGCTAACGGAAACTTTTCACTCATCTAGAGTGCGAGAACGAGGAAAATTTATACCCATGTTACATTCTGTCGTTATCAATGCATCAATGTATCAAAAGTTGTAGCTATGCCAAAAGTGCATTAAATGTCAATTTACTGGTGCAACTTTTTAATTAACCATTTTATGTTCGTTTAAGCAAACTTTTTTATCTCTCTTCTGTGGTACATATACTTTGTACTGTGTTAGTGTGTTGACACCGGATTTCTAAGACTGCATTTCCTCAAGTGTAAAATTTAGATTGTACGTATAAATGTTGTGTGTGTGTGTGTGTGCAGTGGTTTTGTTTTCGTTTTCGGGGTCAAGTATCATTTACTGTTCTGATTTTAAATATTCAATTCAAGGGGATGATAATAATTGTTTGCTGTATATGAGTAGTTTGGAGCGAAAATGTAATACAGAAAAGTTGCGTGGAAAAATGTCAAATGAAAAGAGATAGCTATATAGTTCACTATAGTTTACTATACAGTTATCTAAAAAGCTATTCCTTTTCCGCTCATTCATCATCGACATTTTTCCGCGCAACTTTTCCGTATTACATTTTCGCTCCAAACTACTCATATGTGCTGTTTGTCTACATCTAGCTAGAACAATTAAACAATGATACGTGTGTGTGTGTGTCTTGAGTGGTAAGCTAACTCATTAAAATATGAATCACAGAATATTTGACTTCTTTTTGCATATCCCATCTTATATACCTATTAATTCCAATGTAATTTACATTAGGGTCGAAAGAAACGTGAACAAAAGGCATAAAAACAATGGGACAGTTAAATGTAAAATGTTAAATTTACCTCGATATTGTCCAGGAACACCTAAATAATTTTGATTAATATTGGGTGTCGGTGGTACGGTCTGGTGTACTAATGCCTTCTGCACCAAACCAGTGAGGTTGGCTAATTGACGTTCCATGTGCTCGACTCGGATGCGATGTAAATCTTCAGGCCTGTTGATGCAGCCATAAAAAACAGACACGACAAAACATAAAAGTTGAGTATTAAAAAAACCAACACATACACCGACACAAACATAGGCATTTTCATCCAATTTGCAAGATGAATGAGAATAAAAGCGTCAGAGTGGAGAGGGCGATTCACATTTGTTTTGATCACGAGACTCGGAAGTTGTCGAAGCATTAAATGTGATAAAAAAAAATTGGATCGTAGCATGGGCATTGTTGCTTGAGCTGCAAGAACAATTTAAATTATCTCCACTTTTCCGCTGTGTAGTCAATGGAAAGCGTCACACGTTTTCGCCTCAAAAATCGTTTTCAATGGAAATTGACATTAATTTCTTCACTGTGCCTCGGCTGCTTTTTTTTCTTTTTCTTCTTGCTCTCATATTTTACGCTCATTAAAATAATGTTCCAATTGTGTGAACCGTGTTTTGCGCCGCTTTATCTCTCTGCCTCTCTTCATCCGAACGTCTTTAGAATATTATCTCTAAAATGAATTTTGCTTTTCCGTTGGATTCACGTCAAGCATCATCATTGTCACGTGTGCATGAGCTGTGCACGAAGAGAGAGAAAAATAAATGTGTCGACATGACGACGATATGATAAACTTGGAATAGTTTTTTGATGTGATTTTTTTACACCCAGAGAAAATAAACGTTTGCGTTTTCTCTCTCTCTCTCTCTCTCTCGCATTATCGCTCTCACATGAAATCAGTCACATGGAAATCTAATAATTGTAGAAACTTTGCACACATTTTTTTTTGTCTGCTAACACAATTTTCCCCCTTCTTCTTTTTTTTCTCTTGCTTCTAGTGGCCCTTTTCCACTACAAACACCAGAAAAAGGCCAAGTTTCAACACAGTTTTCTGCCGACAATAGCACAAACCGTTTGACAAATTGAGTTTGCTCGTTAGTATCCATCGAAAAGGATTTTCATGAACAGGAATGGTGAATGTGTTAAAGGAACGCTGATTCAATATTCGAAAAAAAAAGAAGAACGGTAAAAACGTTGGAAAATTGTGTCTTTGTGTGTCATTTAAAGCAAAAAAAAATTAAACTCGGTTCCGCACATTAATGACATTCATTTTTTTCCACATCCATTAAAAATTTCGGTTTTATTTTCATTCAGATGCCTAAAGTGGATTTCTGATTGGAATTTTGTGAACTGAAGCAGAGTGAAACGGAAATTTAAATGTGATCCGTAATGAGTATGATGAACGGAATATCAAACAAGGTTTTAATTGTGTTGGCAATATTGATTCGATGTTCGTTAACATCGGACGTTGAAAATGGCACGTATGACAACAACAGCAACGACAGCACCGACATCGACGATGGTATGATGTATATTTCGAATGATTTGCAATGTTTGGCCCAGATGCCAGTCGGTGATTTGATGAAAATACGAAAAGCAATCAGGATGATGCATGCGGTTTCCGACTACGACGATGCACATCAAACGTCATCGCATTTAACACCCGCATTGAAAATCGATAACCAAAACCAAAACCAAAATAATAGTTTATTGCGTGAACTACCAGTGGCCGAAACACGAACGGTACAACAGTATTTTTCTCGATTCACAACATCGATGCCAAAATCGCCATTGGCAGAACCTTTTATGATGACCAATCAGATGCATAATGCTTGGCGAAACAACCAGCTCACGTAAATTTTTTTAAATGCTTTTCAACAAACTTTTTATTGGGAATTGATTGCATTTTATCCTCTCTTTTTCCCTCGCCACCTGTCACATCCACTTCATGTGCATATTTTGGGGTGAATAAAAATGACATTACAGGCATAAGACCGGTTACGGTTCCGAATGGGAAGAAGAAAAACCGTCGAAAGTTCAAAAAGTGCTTCATTTGAGCATTACAGCCCTAACGTTTTTGGCATTTGCCGGTTATTTACTGTGTATGATCGTTCAGGCAATCAAAAGCAAAGGTAAGTTTAAACATTAATTAAACATGCTTTCAACCGAAGCGATTCTCGTACGTTCCAAATTTTTTTCTCCACACAGGAACAACATATTTCACTAAGACCGGTTCGTTGATGGCACTTCAAACGGACGACGCAACCAAACTTGGCATACATCAGACTCGTTTTCGGCGAAATACCAGAACAATAAAACGAATCACAATTGCCGAACCGGATCCGCTCAGTATGTTTCAGGCGCTTGTGGCCATTTCCAAAGGCTACGTTCAATTGAGTAATTTATCGAAACCGCCCATGTAAATGCCCGAAAATCCGAACTAGATCAATCGACTACTTACCGTGTTGGATCATACATCTGAGTCGCATTTCGGGGAATTCTTCCTGTTTTATGACCATATAAAGCGTATTGATTTTCTGTTAACGATACATCACTGCAAGTGCAAAATATAAATCATGTTTAGTGTTTCATGTTGATAGCATTTTCATCGAATTTTCGATCGAAATTCTGTTAGCGATTTGGTTGGATTTTACGGTTAAAAAGTCGATAATTACCTTAATTCTTCATCAATAATTGGTGCTACTGAGCTGCCGCGCGTTCCAAACTGACTGTAATATGGCTCCTCGTAACTGCCACGCGTTCCACGCTCTGGTGAGCTCATGTAACCATCTGTTTTGGTTGGAATACAGTTTAAATTGTAATTAGAACGAAAACATGTGCTGCTTTCTCGTTTTCATCTTATATTTTTCATTTCTATAACCTACTTCTGTGTGCTCTGCACTTTTTTTGCACAAAAATAAAGAAAACAAAAAAAATATCAAAGCAATTTGAACTAAGCATCAATTGTTGTTTTTGAAATGCATGCTGCGGATTGGTTTGTGTGTGACTTGTCTAAATCCAATTGAAGCAAATGGTCGAATTATTTGTGGTTTTGTTTTTTTTTTGTTGCAGTGTCACCATTGTTGGATGGGAGGAGTTGTGGGATATGACTTTAAAGCCAAGTGCAAATTTCATGTGGTATTTATTTTTTTGCTGTTGCTGTTGCTGTTGCTGTTGTTGTGGTAGTGGTGGTGATGTGGAACAAAGTGTTTTTTGTACCTGGTATACTGTAAAGTTGATCCTGGCTATAAGGGTATTGGGCGTTCATGCTTCCTCTAGAGCCATATGATCGTAATGGTTTGGCTGGTGGTCCTACACAAAAAAACCATTTCCAAACAAACAAACCGAATAAAAAAAACAAAACCAACAGAACAACAACCAAAACGAACGACGAACGAAAAGCGTTTCAGTCATTTATCGATACAATTTATGAACGAAACTCATATCAGCATTCGCCATTTGCAACGTAATAAAAGAAAAAAGAGGGACAAAACTTTAGGGCGGTTTGGAGACGGAATCTACATAAATCAATGCTCAAATGCTGTTGTCAAATGGATCTCGAAAACTTTTAATATTTTTCATGCATTTTCTCTTTTTTTTCTTTTTTTTCTGTGTTTTCTTTGTACATTTCAATCTATGTTCCCGATATTGAAATCCTTTTGTTGACTTTTGGATTACACTTCAATCTCAGAAAAGGGTATTCTTTGCGATTTAAGCTTACCAATAATATTTTTGTTACGGTCGCTGTACATCCCTCGAGGCAATGTTTGTGCAGAACCAACATAGTATGGAGCACCTTTGACGCCCTGCAAAAGATCCAAAAGAATTTGTATTTAACGAATTAAATCTCAGTCAAATCCGAAAAAAGGGAGCAAAAAAACAGCACATCAAGAATCAGCGAGCGTTTCATCTGCGGCGAGAATATCGCTTTAGAAGTGGTTAATTTGTTAAACAATCACAATAGCTGGAGCCATTTCTGTAAGTTTATTGCTATTTTGAACTCGTTAACAGCGTCCACCACACAGAAGAACAGAAGCAACTGTTCCATCCAGACGAAGCGAGTTTTATTGGCAAATGGACATTTTCAAACCAATTTTTCACATGCGATTGATTTTGATAGCGATTTACCACACATTGGCTGTGCGATGGCAATGCGGTCGGACAACGAAAGAAAAATTGTTCGTTTAAAAGCAAAAAGTCATCCGCAACTAAACTCGCTCGAATAGGCTGCACTTAAACCACAAAATTATGGTTTTTTTCTGCGTTGGCCTATAGTTTTTCTACACTTCGCATCGTGGGGCCATTTCATAAAAAAATAACAGCAGTAGCAGCAACAACGACTGCATAAAACTGAGCATTAGTAATTTAGTATAAAATCCGTTGGCAAAACAAAACAGACGGACAAATGACAGACTGAACCGAAGAGAAAAAAAAAATTGGCCATCGAACGAATGAGTTCGCTAATGTAACCGCATTGTGTGTACATAACCAATGCGACCTAAGTCAAACACTTCGCATGCCAATACACATTAAACATAAAATTACGAGCCGCACACACTGTGAATGCTGCGGCTGCTGCTGCTCTTCTTTCGTATAAACGAAACGATATGAAAAAAAAACATAAAACAAAACAAAGGGAAAAAAATAAAATTACTCCAATTGCATAACCGAAACAATCGAATCAAACGACAATCTAAAATGAAAGTAGAAAAAAAGCACAAACGAACAGAATGCGAAGCAAATATTTGTGGTGCGCGAATGGAGAAAGAGAGTGAGAGGTGTAAGTATATATGTGTGTGTGTAAAGCGAAAATGAAATAATAGCGGAAAAAGCCATCAAATCACGATTTATGCCATGAGTTTCGTGAATCTGTATCAAATTTATGACGACGACGACAACGATAGAAGCATTAAATTAGCGATGTAAATGGAATTTATGGTGACAATGGCTCATATACAACTTGACTGTGGGCTTGATGACTTACAAATCGCCGTTGAACGTGTCGAGTGGAGTGTTTGTAAGAAAAATTACTGAAATGGTCATAAATTATTGAATCAGACTGTATTTTACACATAAATACTAATCATTTTTCTACATTTGTCTCTTTTGTTTGGATTTTGCTTACACATTTCTGCGTTGATTTAATTATTAGTTACGAAACGGTTCACAGTGAATTAATGTTGATTGCATTTACGTTAATGTTGACAAAAAAAAAAAAACAGAGAAAGCCCACAAAAAACCGTGCGTAGTAGGAATTACAATTCAAATTTAATATTCCATCAATAATACGAGTTTAAGAGCAGTCGAGCTGCAGGCACCAATCCCATTATTACAATCTCAGAGTGGATGTGTTTTTATTTCTGTAATACGCGTGTATCTTCTTCTCTATTTTATTTGTTTGCACATACAAATTGATGTTTAAATATTGTATGATTTGTCAGTTGCTAGCGGAAACAGGCTGAAATTCATCATAATTTATTCATTGGACAGTTATTGACCTAAGCTTGGGATGGCTGAAAAGCGTTGGAAGCTGAAAAGTGGTCATTTACTTCCTGATCATTTACTGTTTGTTCCTCTGGGTTTCAATTCACATTCCGAAAATTAGAAATATTTTTCCCCCGATCGGATTTATTCTTTGTCACACAAACACACACACATACACACCCACACAGAGTTGCAACCTTTTCAATGATTCAGCATAGGTCATTCAACACAGTATTGTCGGACCAAAAAGACACAACACACACAAGATAAAAATACACTTTAATACCCGATTCTGTAGCTTCATCTGATGGCATTTTCTCATGAGACTTACAATTCTTCAGCTTAAACAAAGGACGAAGAATGTCAGTCGATTTTGTGTGCTTTTTTTCTCTTCTAGCCGTGTACAACCTTTGTGATATTATTTTGATAAGACACGAAATTTGAGTTTCGCAAAACATTCAAACACACAGTGGGAAGATTGCTTGAATTTCGAGTATATTTATTGTCGTACTGGTATCGACACAATCGAAATAACATCGAGAGTATTTTAATTCTTTTCCATTTTATTGTTCACCGCAACGATTTCACTGGCATGAGCTGAACACTTTGGGGAACAATTGAGAAAGTACATATAAATAGCGATTTTACCGCTATCGATACACTCATGCTGTACATGCACGACAACAACAAATTCCACGTCGATGGGATCAGGTGACTTGAATTGTGGAAGTACGTTGGCACTGGAATGTTAACGTATTCGTTTAACTGTAGAACAGCTCACCTGCACCAATAAATTTTGCATAGCGATTTTTCTGCATGGTGCATTATTTTGCCATTTTTCTTTTCACTTTGACTTTGGCTGTCGTCACCAAGCGGTGATTACACGCTTGAGAGTGTTTCATTCACTCTCACTCACGATGGATGTCTTTTGTATTTCGAGAGCACCGCAACACAGCATCGACGAAAAAAAAACGCACCAACAATGCAACCATATCGGATGACGTAGTTGTATAACAATTCGCATATAAATACGCCGTTGGCGAACACAAAAAAACGCAACGCTTTGTTTCATGTCTATCCAGAAATGAATCAATGTCTCTCAGACACACAGGCAAACAATCAAATTGCCGCGTGCATAAATCGATGAAATCGATGTGTGTATGTTGAGAGAAAGATCGCATTCGATTTAGTCATTATATCGGAACGAGAAAAAAAACAAGAGCCGTGGGTATTACAGCGTCAATTAGAGAGAGAAAAGAACATGCAGCAAATGGATGGTTTTATGGTTTTTTATCCGAGCAAGAGAGCCTATAATTACGGTAAGAGGCCTAGCAATGCTAATTGAATACGGATGAGATTTTGCTTCCGCCGTCATTCACCTCATTAAATTGCACATTTTTCGCCGGCCGTGGCTTTTTCATCTTAACGAATTTTGGGCCTTTCTTTGGGAAAATGAGATGAAATGCGCACAATATACTCAAAGACTCAACGGAAAATATAAAGTGTAGCTATTGTGTGTATGTGTGATAAATGACGGCCAATAAATAATTCGAACGGCTTTTTTCGAACAAGTTTTTCGCTTTACGCTTTGAATGGCGAGGCTCTAAACTTCGATATGCTTGTATGGATATAATATTATTGCCATTTTTTTCTTCTAATTTTGGCATTCAATATGCACAAATGCAAAATTATGGAAAAAAAACATTTGTCTGTATTCATGCAAAACAGAAACATACTCGATAATTATCAATCCAACGAAAACAGTTAAATGTTTTGTACAATATTTTTAAATGTGGCGATAACGAAAAAAAAAATCATTTAAACGTATCCATTTTTTTTTGCTAACTCTTGTTGAACGCATGCATGTACTTTGTGCTCTATTGCGCTGGCCAAGCAACAGCAGTCATGGTAACATTGCTTGTTCACCGGTGTATTTTTTTTTACTGACTGATTTCAGAAAGTAAATGCATCCGACAAAACGAAGAAATTTCGTTAATCACTGTTTTTTTTAAACACATTTCACTTTTCATTTCGGGTGCTCTGACTTATTTCGAAAGCATTGTTTTTCTTTAGAAGCGATGTGTATAGTTTTCGGCAAATTGTTTCGAAGAACTGCAGCAGTAAAAACAATGTATATTCCGCACTTCCACTGCTGCCGATAAATACACATGTAATGTAAGTTCATGACCGTGTTCACTCTTCATTTTTACGTCGATCTAGAAGCATTTCCAGTTCAAACGGTTGAGTGCAGTACGATGAGGATGGTTTTCTAGATTCACTCACATATTTCACGGTTATGTTATTGCTGATAATATACGCAGATCATACGTGCTGTAAGCCATGGTCTTCCGAAAAATTGGTTGGTCCGATGCATGATACCATTGTAAATCCGTTTAATTGTATGAGCAACAGAAAAAATAACCAGAAGCACACCAACAAACACACACTCGATACACATTCGCAAATTAATTGCTTTTGTTCGCGTAGTTTGTGGCATGGGTTTCCATTGCCGCTGTTTCATGTTTTTTTTTTCCTTTCGTTGGAGCAATGATTTTCATACGCTTCACAAAGCTGTTTGTGTTTATGTGTTTTTCTTTCATTTTATATTATTTCATCGGGTCGACTCTCGTACATGTACACATCTGTCTGTGTATGCCTTTGTGGTGTATGCTGTTCGCCTGTTGCCTTTGAATAAGAGAAGACGAAGAAAAATAGCGACGAAACGAGACAGCGAAAAGTTGAGTTCGCATAGTGGGTTGCTGGTGGTAACGTTTGTGGCATATTAAAAGTGAATTTGTCGTTCAGTAGATTATGTGTATTCAAGAATAACGGTTTAAGAAAATATCGACTCTGTTTTGCGCGTTTTCAAATATTCACGATTGTATCGTGACCAGGCGAATCATTTTGTTTCTGTGTTATTGAAACGATTTGAAGTATTTTGTGTTGATTTGGTGTTGAAAAATAAAAAAAAAACAAATAGTTGAAACGATTAATTTGATATAGAGATTGAACGAAAGACACGCGATACCATTGAACATGAAGTGTGTCGTGTATTTATCACTTTCATTAGGACTGATTACCACAATTAATGCTTCCGATGGCGGTTGGACACCGATTGTTGGTAGGTCAAGTCCTGCACTGAAAACAATTCAACAGCCCGTGATTGTGGATACCGCTTTGAATGCAGCATCGAGCAGCACAAGTACGATAACATTTAATGGGCGCACAATTACGACGAGTATCGGTGACAATGAGGCAGCTGCACCAGTGCTAACGGTCGACGCACCAGATTTAACTTCTGATTTAGATGACGAGCCCAAAT